TTTTTTAACTAAAAAAGCTGGTTTTGATAGTCAGTACCTAATTATAGCACATCCAATACAATAATTCGCAGGATTTATAAATAATATTAATAATAGTACTCGTAAGAATATTCTCTTTTATTTTCCCCTTTCAGTAATGCTGGAGCTTTGAGTTTGTGGTAGGCGTCTGAAAATCTATGTGCTGAGATTTGTCGTCGTCAAATTTTGTTCTTACTATTAAAGGTGGTTTTTTATCACGTCTCGGAACTTCAGATTTATTTGAATGTTGATTGATCGATGGGCCATTCTCATCAACAGGTGTAGCTAATGTGTAGTGAGAGTTTGACCGCGAAATTTCTTCTTGGGGCTGGGAATTGAACGATGAATCTTTTTGCAGAGGACGTTCTAGCTCATTTGTAACATGCAAGCTTCCTTCAGAACTACTCAAAAGATGAGGAGAAGATTGATTATGAATATTTGCAGAAGTCATCAAGGCACTCGACGCGACCACATTTGCAGGAATATCTGATCCTCTTGGGTGCAAGTCTTCGCTGGAAGTATTTGGGGTCGTAAATCCATATCCTTTCACCCTCTCAATTCCACGTTTATGCGGTAAGCATCTATTGTGCGAGCTTAAAGATTTCCCTCGTCTTGTTAATTTCTTACCTATATCTAACTTCAAGCTCGATGCTTTGCTATTCATGTTTTTGGTTTCAAAATTTATTCTCGGACTTGAACAAATCTCATTCTGCTTGTTTTTATGATTTTTTTCATGCTTATATATATCCAGTAAAGCTTTCCTAAATTTGTATCCGGAATCTTGACGGAATATACGAATAAGTCCCTTATCATCAGTAGTCACTATTATAAATCCATGAGATGTATCGTTATAGTTATTCTCTGGTTCATCTTCTGAAGACAAACTTCGTAAAAGTTCTGTTGATTTTTTTTCCAAGCCCCTTTTCGCTAGCTGATAAATTACATCATCAGACGATTCAAGAAGCTTTGTTGTTGCTAAAGGTGCAAACATCGCTACATTTACGCTAGAATGGTGAGCGTGAAAAGTGGCATAACTACTATTTTCATTAGCGATCAAACTACTCTCATCCCCTGGTCCAAGAGGGCTTAATCCTTTTCCTTTTTCGATTTCTTTTTCAGACTTTTTGTGCTTATGCATGTCGCTTATATGATGCTTACCTTCTATCATTAGATCTTTTAGTGCAACCTTAAGTCTATTATTTATAATTGTATTGTTATTTTCCCAAATATAACACCAATGGTCTTCAGAGCCGCATATAATGTATCGATAATCGGCACTAGTATTAGCAACTATAGATGAGTTCACATTAGTTAATCCCTTGAATCTTGTCACTAATTTTTTCAGTGACGTGTTTACTAACCTTATTTTTGAATCATTTGTAGTTATTAAAAAATTCCATTCGGCCAAAGGTTCTTTTTCTAATATTGCTTTAGGAGGTGCACTATTCTTGAAAACTTTTATACCAGTAATCTTATTGTCATTCTTATTACGAAATGGATGCACTAGAGACCTGTCTTTGATTTCAACTCGATGTATAACATAGAGCCCTTTAGTCTCTAACGCATAAATTGATCCGTTGAACCCACCTATTATGCAATATTTCCCATCTGGAGTGAATGATGATGCCGTTATAAGTACGTCATCTCCCAAATTCTTACTATATGCCACTTGCTTTTCCAAAATCGACCATAATCTAGCGTTATTGTCCAAAGACCCGCTCAAGAAAAACCGATCATCTAGAGGATGGAACTTCACACAAGTCACAAAGTCTTCGTGTTCAAAAGTGTCTAAGCATTCATCCCTGTCCACATGCCACAATTTCACTGTTCTGTCCATACTTCCTGATATCAAAAAATTATTCTTGCTCCAGTCGAGTGAAAGAATGGAATGACGGTGCCCCTTCAAAACTCTAATAGGTTCTTGATGAAATATAGAAGCAGATCTGAAGGTCTTGTCCCTGCTTTTACATTTTTTTCCATTTTCAGAGTTTTCAAACTCATAATTTCTAAACTCGAGCCTTGCCAATGGAGAGGAAATTACTTTCCAAATCTTGATAGTTGAATCTCGTCCAGCTGCTGCTAAATACTTCCCATCCCTACTGAATTCCATAACGAATATCTCACCGCTTTTATTAGCCACATTTCTTGGTCCATCTTTCAGCAAGCTAGATTTCAGTCGGTTAAGCTTTTCGAAATCATTTACTTCAGCGGAGTCAATAGAATTGGATTCAAAATCATGAAAAACATCCTTACTTTCGAACTGTAGTTCTTGAGCCAAGAAAACATTATTTAAAATTTTTGGACTATGCTTGTTTTTCCTAAAATTTCTTATATACTTTGGAAAAAGTAACGACTCATACGTCAAATTCAGCCACGGCAATGTGTCATCACCTTCTGAACCCAGTGATAGATCATTACCTGATTTGTCAACTATGCTTGGAAACTTTATCTTTTCATCTTTATCTCGCTCTCCTATGGTGGTTTCGCTTGTTTGATCACTTAAAGACCCAAAAGAACTAGAGTCATCCACTGATGAGCCTAGCGACGCAGTATCAGAACCCCTGAAGTGGTCAACAGTATCGTTATCAACGTCTTCCTCGTTATATATGCTTTCTTTTTCGTTATCAATGCAATTGCCATTGGGAGCATTCGAGTTACTCCTACTTCTACTTCGTCTAGATCTATGAGGTTCGGCGTTGGATTTCGTTGCAAATATTTCAGTCCCCGGATGACTATCCGAGAATGATATTCCTCTTCTTCCTCTTGTAGAAGGGCGAGTATTGTTATCATCTATTCCACTAGATGAGCTTTTATTGTTTCTTTTAAGGGATCTATTTCGACTCACTGATGAAGTGTCTCCCAGAAGATACTGTGGTCCCCTTGCAGACAGCACTCTTGTTGCCAGCAGATTATCCAGCGTTCCCAGAGTTGTAGATGCTTGCAGTACTGCCCTTCTCTTTAATAATTTGTAAAAAAATCCTTTTTTAGATGGAGAGCTCGGGGAGACAGCCGCCGAGCTGTGTATTGAGCTCGATGTCGGAGGCGTAGGTATTTGATTCTTCTCTGCCATTATGTAAACTAGGCTGTTGCAGAACAGTTATATATCCGTTTGTTTCAAAATATATCACTCTTTCGCAATAAAATGTCAGCTTCCTAATACAGTCACAGAACTGGTGCTTGCGAACTACTTATCATATACCTTGATATGTCCGTTAAAATACTTGTATAATTTGAAATTGCTATATAACTTATGAATTAGCGTCAAGGATCAAGACAAAGCAAAAAGATACCTCATGACTGTGAGATTTTTTTCGCCATTGCAATATTATCTTGTATGTGAGATTGATTTATCACTAAAATACATAAAACAATACGAAGTAAAGGAAGAAGTATGAGCGATTTACTTAGTCTAATTAAGAATAGCTCTCCTTTCAAGCGGCGGGCTTCTTTCTCTTAGACCATTCGAGGTGTAAGATTAAAGAGTGGTAACCTTTACCATTCAAGGTATTCAATGCGTGTTCCGCCATACTCTCTGTAGCGAAGGTGACATATGCAAATCCTCTTGACTCCCCTGTCTCTCTATTTCTGACCACGGTGACTCTTTGTAACACATATTTGGCCAAAAGTTCGTTGGCCAACATGTCTTCGTCCACATAGCTGTTTAATTGAGATACTCTCAAAGTATTAGAATCGTCTCTATCTCTGAGAGCATCTTTAGGTGGAAGATTACCATTAGCGTCCTTTCTCAAGTGTCTTGGAACGTATTTACCTGCAACAGTTGCACCTGCATCTGTTGGTTCTGGTGTATTAGCAGCTGATGGGTTAGTAGAATCACTGATAAAAGTGTCCTTAAATGGACATTTCGAAGTAAAATGATCACCTCCACATGTTCTACATTTGATCCTCTGGCTTGAGATAACTTGTGCTTGTTCTTGAGCTTTGGTCTCCTCTTCTTCTTTCTCGATTTCTTTCCATGATGTACCTAATTTCAATTCAACCTTTTCACCCAACTGAGTAGTCCTTGTATCTGGTCCTGGAGGGGTGTTCTTCTCTTTTCCATATTTTTTCCAATTCTTCCTCTGTGCAATCAAAGGATGAACTTTCTCAACCACCGTCACTTCTTTGATTCTTTGGGTCACTTTTACCTTTTTGCCTTCTGCATTCAGTCTATAACTTATCACAGTCTTCGTTCCATCTGGATTTGACGTAATTTCTGGAGCAGGAAATTCATCTCCAGCGTCTGCCCAAGATTCAATTACAGAGGCTGACATGCTCGAGGTTTTTCTTCTTTAATTATATTGTATTTATTGAATTAATATTTACTTCACCAAAAAGTCGGATGTTCATAAAAAAAAAATTTCATTTTGATTATTACACACATTCTGGTAATGGTGGTGATACGAGTATCAATAATTTCACATAATATACAAGAGATGAAGAAGAATTAAACTAACAGGGCAAGTGCGAATTTTAAAGAAAACTATTAATTAGCTTGGCCACCTTTTGATTCGAATATACTTCTTCATGTTTTCCCCAGTGATCAAAGAAAACCTTGTATTTCAAATCGGTCTTTTTGAGAAAGGTTAACAATAACTGAGTCTGCTTTGGAGAAAGAAGCTCGTCATCCATAGAATGTAAAATGTAGATATGGTCTGGTATCACTTCAAAAGAAAACACGCTGTTAAATTTCGGATTTGATAATTGAAATGCATTCTTATAATGCTTATCTGAGGAGAAGGCATCGTTTATAAAACCTCTGTACAGATCACCATACTCCTTTAATAGTTCCTCGTTATCGTATATGCCGTCGATGAGAACTAATTTACCTATTTTGACCTTGCTTACGGCATCGAAGAGAATTTGAAGTTGTGTTGCATCCGGTAATTGCGAGTTTTTGCCATGTTGCGCCAATGCTAAGTCAGAAATGCCATCTTCGACAATTGTGGACATGCTGAGCAACTGAAGTATGAAAGACGCTCCAACAGAGTGTCCAATTAATTGCATCTCTGAAATATTAAATCGCTCTTGTAAGAAAGATATGGCAGATAAGATATCGATCAAATGAATCGGATGCTTGAATTCAGGTGATAGTCTGTAATTAATTGAGAATATCAGACCTTCGAAACCATCTTCTATCATACTGGCCGCAACGATTTTAAAGTCATCGAAGGTATTACTAGGGTCCCTCCAGGCACCTCCATGAATAAATATAACTGATTTTGAACTCCATTTCGCCCTTTTGTATATTCTTATCGACTGTAATTCATTGTCTCCATATTTAATACACTCATTATCAATCATTTTACAGTACCTTTTTCTTAAGATATTCTATTAATTATGCCAAAAAATGCTATATTATTATATACAGGCTCTATCAAATTGTCCATCATAATTTCGTTTCAATATTATCAACACTTGTCAGTAAAATTTCTTATTGCGTCTCGAAGTGTTCGAGTTGGTTTCAATTGAGGTACTGTGCAAACATGAAGAATGAAGAATGAAGAAAGAACACGTAAAGATGATAATGATTCAGGCTCAACAAGCTCAACAGACTATTCCTGTTTAGAAGAATGAAAATCCACGAAACAACTCCACCGATTTTCCACTTATTTTTACGTTAATTTTATACAACTTAATCTAAAGTATACAACTCATAAAACAATAGTAACAAACAAAACGTTATCAAAAAATTCAACGACAGTAATTTTGATCCACTACCCTAAAATTTTGGTCATCGGTGATTCATCAATTCTTCAAAATAAAAACCCTTTCAACCAAAATGTGATAATAAACTTCATTCTTTTTTAATAAGGACCCCGAAAAGATTAGTAGCGAGTAGGAGACCTGTCACGGACATAAGTATCTCTCTCGTATCCATCGTCTCTGCGGAAGTCACGATCGTAACCACCACGACCTCCTCTAAAGCCACCACGGCCTCCCCTAAATCCGCCACCTCTGAAATCATCTCTGTAACCTCCACGGCCACCTCTAAATCCACCACCTCTAAATCCGCCTCTAAAGTCGTCTCTGTAGCCACCGCCACGGCCACCTCTGAATCCACCACCTCTCGAGTAGCCCCCACGACCACCTCTGAAGCCACTACCTCTGAATCCACCTCTGAATCCACCTCTTCTTGGTGGTGGTGGGATAAAAGGAGAAGTGTCTTCTTCTGCAGCTAATACGGCACCTTGGAACTCTGAATCATTCAACAAAGGAATTGCCTTTTCCAATTCTTCGCCAGAGCCAAATTCTAAAGCGCCAACAATTTCACCTGTATCATAATTTCTAAAAACCTTAGCGAAAGTCGGTGCCAATTCAGTTTTGTCTCTGACAAAATCTTTAAAATCTTGCCAAGCAGTTCCATCTGGTAAATTGGAAACCTTGACTCTAAACTGACCTCTCGTATCTTCTTTTCTTTCTCTGGCAAACTCGATTTGTAAAGGTTCTCCTTCGAATTCACTTTCGTTTAAAGTATCAACAGCTCTTTGAGCATCTTCTGGCGACTCAAATGTAATAAAGGCGAAGCCTCTCATTAACTGAGTTTCGACAATAGGACCAAGGTCACTGAAATGAGCTTCGATTTGCTCACTCTCGACTTCTGGCCCTAAGGGCCTAACAAAAATCTTGTTTGGTTCAGTCATTCTTTAATAAACTGGTTTACTGTTTAAAGTCTGGGAAAAGATGTTTTTTTTTTATAATAATTTTGCCTTCTGAAGAGAAAGAAACTTCATGGTCGTGCGCTGTTACAGTATTAAATAACACAAAACCATCTCTGTCTTTTCCCTCAACAGGTATGATATCTATAAACAAAAGAACTAAAGGCTGGTACATAATCACCGTGTTGGAATTTCATAATAAATATAGCTGCTTGATACTTTTTTTTTATGGGATCTCAAAAAAGTTATGAGGGTATAACACCTTTTTTTCCTTTATAGAATGATGCTAAATTTCTCTTTTTTAAATAATGCAATACTGATTTACAGAGGTAAACAAACATAAAGCTCTGAAGCCTCGTGGAGTTCTATCAGGGTTGGTAGATGAATATGCCTTCCGATTTCTTTTTCCAACAATCAGGCCAGGATAAATCGTTCTACGTCAATACATTTTTTGACTTCAAGTTCTTCGTAGAAGGTGAAACCGAACTCGTAGAGTTACTTTTCGTGTTTTTTAAAGAGTTTTTCTTAGCATTTTTCTTCTTAGTTTGGACTTTCTTTTTCTTCTTGTACTGCGCGTCTTCTGATGGCATGTTTAAAAAGCGCTTTGGAACAAATTCATTTGTTTCGGCGAGAAGTTCTTTTCTAGCGTCAATATTACGTTGTATTAATTGAAGCATCAATGCTTGTTCGTACTTTACAACATTTGAGTCCTGGATTTCTTCGTCCTCTTCGCTAAAGTCATAGGGTGATTCTTCAAGGTATAAGTTTTGGTCATCATTCTCGATCCCATATTGCTTGCAAAAATCGGAAGACCCTTGCAATGCGCATAGTAAATTATCATTATTAAAGCCCATAGATAGGTTTCTAGTATTAAAATAAAGATCATTGTCAAGTGTTTTGGGCGGGAGTTTCGTCTTTGATGATTTCAGCAGATCTTGTTCCTCTTTGACTACTAAAGGTAAGAATAAAGAATCGTCTTCCATATTAAATAATGCATTTAGCAATCCCCTTATATTCACTTTGTAAACGATAAAATCACTCACAGAAAAAGTAACAGTCGTGAAATCTTGTGATTTCCATTTCATGTTTTTGGAATCAAATTTGACAGATTCAATGAATAAGCTACTTATCCCATTAGGGAGCAAAACATTGGAACCAGCACATAATCTGTCAGGATGTTCCAAATCCCATCCAATTATGGGAATTTCAAAGGATATTGAAGAACTAACGTGTGAAAGTTTATAAATATCTCTCACTAAGAGCGAATCCTCACCATCATCTTTTCCATTATCAACCATAACTTTATCCTTAACTAAAACGATCAAATTGGGTCGATACATGTTATTACCACATCCACATTTATCTAAATGTGCTCGTGCAAACCCTACCCAAATTTCTCTATCTTGGGGTAAGATTCGAGAAACATCAATTTTTTTTCTTGCTAATAATTCATTAACGTTAACTAACTGAGTACCGCCTCGAAACGGACCAATATTAGCCGATGGCGATAGCCTGTTGCTCAATCTATAACTAAATGCACAAACACCTTCAAGATTACATCTTAATATCTCCAAATTTGCCCATCTGTAAACAAAAAGTACGTATTTATCAAACCCGTAACGATTGCTTTGTTCATAACTTATAAATGGACTCCAATTCTTCTGCTTTTTAGATCGTTTGAGATTTTGTATTCTTAACTCAACGACTCTATTATAATAATTATTATCATAATACTTGTCTGGCATCCCATCTGTGTTTTCTTTTCCTTTTTGAAATTGCCAGGGCCAGCACATGAACATAGACCTATAGTAATCAGGAGTTAACAATATATGGTCATCCACGTCATCGTCTAGATGCACCAATTTTCTGTGATATGCATTGAATACAACTAGAGGCTCCATATGCCCTCTCTTGTTTTTCACCAACATCAAACGAGGATCTTCTGGACCGTAATATTTGCCTTCCACATTGTCAATATCATGCCAAAACGGTATTGGTAAGAATCTAGGAAACTTTAAGACCATATAATCATCATTCTTGTCTCCCTTAATATTTTCATTGTTTTCTAAACTATTCGTTGGGACCACTAATTTGGTATTGGTTAATTCTTTCCATTCTTTATTATATAACTGAGCATAGGTCAAAGATACGATGGGTTGATTTCTGGATCCTTTAGGACTGTACAAGATCCTCGATATTGCAAAATGAACTCCATATTCTTCGAGCCACACAGACGATCCTGCCATTCTGAAGAAAAACCTATCGACAACATCATATTTAAGTTGCAACTTTAATTGATCAATAAAAAATGGAGCCATTTCTTGATAATAAGGATCGCTTTCAGTCTGTTTCAAGAAATTAGAAAGCACTTCTCTCATTGAAACGTCTACGTTGACTGCCTTGTCAATTTCTATCTTTGCGTCCTGTTTGAGCTCACCATCACACCGACTTAAATTTAGATTGATCTCATTTGAACTATCATATATAGTAATGTTATGGTCGAAGTACTCTGAATGTTTTTGGAAGACCGCATAATCTTCATCTTTAGCTCTCTTTAGCTTAGGCTTACCAATGCTCTTTGGATCAAAATAGTTAGGATGCTCTTTTATGAACTCATTAATATCGAGTTCAAAACTCTTCGGAAAGAGGACTTGGTTGGTAGATATTCTATTTTTGAATATAAATGAATCACTACCCTTATGAAATGCACTTTTGAATTTGCCAACAATCGTCACGTCGTCATAGTTTCTTAATTCAATGATCAAATACACTATAGCAACCCACGAAATTAGCACGTAGGGAGATATCGACAAAAGAGATCGATATGGCATCCCTATTTCAATCGTAATATTATATTTATTTTATACTCTCTCTCCAAAACTCTATATACAAGTTGTCTTATTATTCATTGGTTTTATCAAGTATCGTTTATGTAAGAGACATAAAATTTGTGTCATATTTGTACCTCGTGGTTTTTATTTATAAGCCTATACACTATATCTTAAAATGGAAAGTGCGGAATATTAGCTAGTTTAAACATATCAAGTTGATTTCTTGGCCAATTCACTGGATTTGATGAAAGATGGAGTTGTTTCGGATGACAATGATGTAGCTGGTTTGACTGACTCCAGGCCTTCCGTAGAGGGTAAACCATCATCAAAATCGACATCCTCATCATTATCATAGTCTGGATCGTCGTCTATCTCGTCCTCTTCATCTACGTAGTCGTCGTCCTCCTCATCATCTTCTTCGTCGTCGTCATCTTCATCATCCTCATATTCTTCATTATCATCTTCATAGTCATCATCATCTGTATAATCCCCATCATCTGTATAATCGCTTTCGTTGGCATTGAAGCTTACGTCCGGTGTCTCACCTTGATCGCCTTGATTTTTAGAGCTGGTACTGTTTGATCCAAACATCATAAAGTTCTTAAGAGGAGAAGCAAAGGATGCAACCGAATTTGGCCTGTCGGTGAGTAGCGACAGTGACCTAGATCTGCGACTCGATGGATCGCCGAAATCAGAGGACCCTTGAGACCTTATCTTCAAGAGCCTCGGCGATTTGGGCTCTTCTGGTTCTGTTACATCTTCTTCATTATCGCTTAAATCGCTGAGATTTAAGGGCTCCCTCCAATAATTCACGTCGTTGAATTTTTCGTCAGTAGTAATAGGCATCGAATCATCATCTGCTATACTCCTAGGAGAGCCTGGCGACGCAGGCGGGTTGTTTTGTGTGTGGCTAATATACTCATTAAATTGGTTATCATTCCAATTAGAACTTAAAGACGAAACTTCTCTTATGGGGGGAAAAAAATGGTCAACTAGTTCACCAATGTGTAAATAAGATGATTTATATCCAGCTAACTCTAACAATTCCATATGCACCTCGCCGTTTGGATTAATTGTAAATATACGGTGGCTTGGAATCTTCACGGACCGGTAACTGATTGCGTCAGTTATTTTGTTTCCAAATCCAGCATAAAAAGGGGTCCTATCATCGTCATTATCATTAAAATAAAGACTCCTTATATCATTCAAGCAAGACATCTTAAACACTTCTGGTTTCTTAAGAATGACCTCTCTCTTTAGAGCCGCTATTGTTCTATCTGGACTTAAGATGACAGGCCCTTTTGGCAATTTGATTCCTCCATCTTGAATGATACCTCTCAAATATTGACGTGTAGTATCTGCTTGGCCAACTGATCTTGCTGTCAAGTATACAATGTTGTATCCATTAGCCTTTATGTCTTGAAATAAATTTGCGACCCCAAGATGCGTCCAGTCTTTTCCAAATAGATTCAATACATGACCTAATGCATCTGACTTCGTAATAGTGCCGTCAATATCCGATATTACTAGTGGAGTTGATGATTTCCATACATAAAGATAAGAATCAATTTGGGCAGTCCCTTGATTAAGTTTGAAAGTTAGCTTATTTTCGCCATAATTTAAATTCATTTTTTGTAACTGTTCGGAGGTAAGTCTCAAGGTTTTGAAATACGTCTTGTCAGTTGCAGAAGCCCCAAGTTTCGTCACTTCACTTTCATTATCACTATATTCCGTCGCAGTAGGGGAGCTATCCAAATTTTCTAAATCATCCTCAACATCTAACTCAGGAGTATTACTTTTATTTGAAATTCTAATATTACCGTTTTCATCCTTGCTGATAATTTGATCCCAACCAGCGAGTTCATGCTCTTTGTTGTCATTTAAATCGTTAATCTCTTTGAAGAATATTCTTTTAAATAGCTCATCTGAATTTTCTATGTTCTTTTGGGCATTTGGCTTGTAGCCATCCATATCTAACACCATATCACCATTAATATCAATCTTCGAGGGAATATTCAACTTCTGGGTAATTTTTTTGGCTCTTTCGAAGGCGAGATTGGATTGAATAGTGGTATTTGATTCCATACTTCTGGGAGAGCTCCTTGAAGGTGATAAGTCCTGTAATTTTATCTTTTGATCAACTTCATCTGCTAATGAAGATATATCACTTCTGTTCAAGTCTAATGTATCAGGTTCCGATTTGTTTATACTGAGAGGATTTTGAGTGGGTGTATGAGCAGGTGAGCTGGAGCGTGATTCTCTTGGCGACCCTGGCAATGAAGAGCCTGGAGAACTTGTCGCTGAAATAACAGGTGAAGTTAAAAGAGATTTCGATAGTAGCTTGTTCTCACCATCAGTTTCAAAGACAAAAAAAGCTTCTCCTCCATCTCCTAGCTTCATGGGAAGGTCAGTTTTAATTCCATTCACATAAAGGTCCACTTTTTTCTGAGATGGCTTTATTATCTGAAACTTACCAAACCTAACATGCCATGGTGAACAATGCAATGATCCATCTGGCTGCTCTACTACTATAACATCAATTGCCCCAGACAAGGTTGCTGGATTCAACGAATTCCATTGATTATAAACGTAATCACCAACCTTTCCGACGTATTGCATTACTTAAGTCTGCTTTGGATTTTACAAAAGATATTCTGATAGTCTGATTATTTGAAGTGAACATTTTGAGTCTAAAATAGGTAATATGTTTTGTGTAATGTGATATTAAACTTTTATTATCAAGACACTAAACCTAATGCAACCACTCGATACTTAATTGTTAAGGGAGCATGCTCAGCCCTGGTAATGGAAGAACATTGCTGAATGATAATTTCATACTGTATGAAGAAAGAAAAAGACTTCAGATAACCTTCTTATTTTCCTTGAGGCCAAACGTAAATTGTTTTAAATTAACCTTCCATGAGTATTCGAAGGGGATGTCAATAGACTTAACGAAAAGCAGCTTGATTACTTTGGTTTAAACATCTATCAAAATCCCAAGAATACTATTACATTTGGGCTATAGTTTCTGCTTCTTTCTTTCTGCTTTCCTGTCTCTTTCTTTCTTTCTCTTTCTTTCTCTCTCTCTTTCTCTTTATGTACAATCTTTTCAATTTCATTCGCTTTTAATAATTACAGCGATATTCCGTCTACGAGTAGGATTCCACTAGCATGCAATGAACCTGTCCTGTCTGCTTGATTGTTCCAACCTGTTGATTTTGCAATCAAATACTAAATGTAATTGTTGACTCGGTCGTGACTCCGCAAGGTCGAGACGCTGCCAACGAGTTAAATTCTAAAGAATAAAGAGTATATTTACCCTTGCTTAATCTAGCACTTAAGCTCTTTTTTTCTTTTTACATTTGCAAAATTAACAGCCAGCTATAGTTAGAGTTAGAGAAGATGTTGAGATCGATAGTCAGACCTATTGCTAACCCTCTCTTGAGGAATACAATAGTTAAGCCAAGGTTTTTTTCGTGTGCCAGATCCCATTTGGATACGGTCAATCATAAATTGAACGTCCAGTCTTCTATGTACAAATATTTGGTGAACGGTCCTAAATTTGTCAAATATACTAGTCAGCACGAGTGGTTGGCCGTTTTTGAAGACGACACTGCTTTTGTGGGTATAACCAGATATGCCAGTGAGGCATTAGGGGACGTTACCTTCGTAGAAATTCCAGAAGTCGGTGATCCTGTCGAAGTTGGTGAGTCAATTGGATCTATTGAGTCTGTGAAAAGTGCAAGTGAGATTTATTCACCAGTCAGTGGAGAAGTCTATGCTGTTAATGAAGCTTTAGAGAGCACACCATCCTTAGTTAACGAAGATCCACAAGGTGAAGGATGGATTGCTCAAATCAAACTAAGCGATCCAAAGGCCATTGAAAGTTCTGAAGAATTAATGGACATTGAGGAATATGATAAATCTTTAGAAGACCTATAAATTTATAAGTAACTTTTGTTAATACAAATGCACGTTCAAATATATGTATGAATATCGCAAAGATAATAAGATTCATTAATTAATGCTAGCTAAAACTGAAGCATCTAACAAGATTATGACTACATAACTACCACTAGATAAGAGTACGGGTTCTACCACAGCTTCGAGTGCTACTGCCGAACCGCCACATCGATTACTTGTTTCTTTTTTTCATTTTCTTTCTCAATCTCCATCATCATGTGTATCAACTGAAATGAACCGCAATCGGCACGATGATAACAATCAAGATTATAATCACACCTAAAATAAGGCACAACCTCATTTTGAAATCTTTCCACCACATGTCTTTGCGCACTCTGTTGGCGCCTCTTCTAAAGCCTTGAGCGCTAATCGCTAAATTATCGGTCTTGTTTTCAATCGAGTCCAACCTCTCTCCTCTTTCAGCAACTTTGTTGATGTTATCCCTCATTACCCCTACCGTATCATCGATTTGCTGTTAATGTTAGTTGTTAATTCACATCCTCATTACTTATTGCATTTCTACTTACCGCTTGAATGGCAGCAGTTCTAGAATTAGACTGCTCACCCGTTGTTTGATTGGGAATGTATGGATCATATGGCACTGAAGATGACATTTTGATGTTCGTTTATTTTACTTCCTGTTAAACCTTTTAGGGTGGCTCCGCTTACGTACAACTATCAGTTTAATCATTTAATAGATCCGCTGACGAAAGGAGATGTTACACAAAGCTTATTGTCGCCTAACGTAATGTTTGGATCCTGAGTCAACTACCGTCAACGACATACAGATCTAGCGACACCGCCGCCCCGGCCAGCGGCGTTTGTGAGGCTTGCTCGCTAATATTGTTCCCGAGGTAACCTATGTGATTGACTGGCAAGACTATTTCCGGGTAATGAAAGTTCGCGTTTTCTATTTTCCCCCTTTTGACCAGCAAATCGAAAACCGCTCGTCCCAATAACACCCTGGTAAAAAGTCCTTCGACTTTTACTAAGTTTTTTCTTCCTTTTGACTTTTTCAACTATTAACAAAGTAATAGTATATTTATCAAGAAGAAAATAGATCAATATGGACGGAGGTATGTAACTGATATTCAAAATGAGCAAATGGGTTGCAAGGGAGATTGATTGACAAAATTGAATCATTTCAATCCAACGTTGCGCTTGATATAATTTCCAGATGCAACATGGTGACATGTCATCAATCAATCAATTGAAGGTTTCATCGATCGTGAGATAGTCGAAAAGAGACCTACCAGACTGAAGCACTCATTTGTAACTTCCAAGAGTTCCAGTTTTAATTGTAATAGGGTAGGGGGCCCGCTATGAAAATAACATAAATACTAACACATTGTGCAGAAGAAGTAGCTGCTTTGGTTATCGACAATGGTTCTGGTATGTGTAAAGCTGGATTTGCAGGGGACGATGCGCCAAGAGCTGTTTTCCCTTCAATTGTAGGTAGACCAAGACACCAAGGTATCATGGTTGGTATGGGTCAAAAGGATTCCTATGTCGGTGATGAGGCTCAATCAAAGAGAGGTATCTTAACCTTGAGATATCCAATTGAGCATGGTATTGTTACTAACTGGGACGATATGGAAAAGATTTGGCACCACACTTTCTACAACGAATTGAGAGTTGCACCAGAAGAACATCCAGTTTTGTTGACTGAAGCACCATTAAACCCGAAATCTAATAGAGAAAAGATGACTCAAATCATGTTTGAAACTTTTAACGTTCCAGCATTTTACGTTTCGATTCAAGCTGTTTTGTCATTGTATTCTTCTGGTAGAACTACCGGTATTGTTTTGGATTCTGGTGATGGTGTCACTCACGTTGTCCCAATCTACGCTGGTTTCTCATTACCTCATGGTATCTTAAGAATTGACTTAGCTGGTAGAGATTTGACCGACTACTTGATGAAGATCTTGATTGAACGTGGTTACTCTTTCTCTACGACTGCCGAGAGAGAAATTGTTCGTGATATCAAGGAGAAGTTGTGTTACGTCGCTTTAGATTTCGAACAAGAAATGCAAACTTCATCTCAATCATCTGCTATCGAAAAGTCTTATGAATTACCAGATGGTCAAGTTATCACTATCGGTAATGAAAGATTTAGAGCTCCGGAAGCTTTGTTTAGACCTTCTGATTTAGGTTTAGAAGCTGCTGGTATTGACCAAACTACCTTTAATTCGATTATCAAGTGTGACGTTGATGTCCGTAAGGATTTGTATGGTAATATAGTTATGTCTGGTGGTACAACTATGTTCCCAGGTATTGCTGAACGTATGCAGAAGGAAATTACTGCTTTGGCCCCATCCTCAATGAAAGTTAAAATTATTGCTCCTCCAGAAAGAAAATACTCTGTCTGGATCGGTGGTTCGATTTTGGCCTCTTTGTCGACTTTCCAACAAATGTGGATTTCGAAACAAGAATATGACGAATCTGGTCCTTCAATCGTTCATCTTAAATGTTTCTAATCTACTGTGGCCATGTCTTATAATTTCCTTTCTTCATTTCTTGAACGTTTATTATCTAGATGTACAATGTAAAAAGTGACTTGGGGAGAAGAAGGAAAAGAAGGTTGAGCTGTAAATGATTAGGATCTGAAAGTGAATGTACTAAGAAAAATAAGAAACAGAAAAGTTTAATTAATAAATTTATTTTTTTTTTGTTTAGAGAATTTGATAGTGCTTGAATCTTTTTTTTTTTGGTTTTATATCTCTAATATATTTGTCTCTATCTTGATAAAAATGAAATGACTCTTTTTATTGTTCAAAGAAATTTCGACAATCATTTATTGTAAATCAATCAACGCTCTCACTATATAAAAGTACCCTTACATATCCAAAGCTGGAGTCTTTCCTTTGAGTCTTCCTAAAACACAAGTTTTCACATATTTTTCGATAAAATTATCTTCATGCAACATTTCAAAGCTCTCGGTAGCGTCCCTACCTGCGTAGTTAAGAATTGACTCTTTCCCACCAGGATGATTGTTTAAAAAAGGTGTTAAATTTAATACAACATTCTTTATAATACACCAACAGTCATCTGGCTTGTTATGCTTTGCCACTTCTTCTGCAGTGAATTCTTTCGTTGGGATTTCAAATTTACCCTGAGCAGCACCAGAGGAGTTACCAACCTGCTCCTTTGTAGGCTTCTTCGCGGTTGCTGGAGTTGAAGCAGGTGCTGGAGTTGAATCTGCCCCTGATTTATTTGTATTCTCACCCCAATCAATAATGAGTCTTTGTGGGGTCAGGGGATCAATGTGAAAATTTATTTGGCTCAACCTGTTTGCGGCAGTATTACCAGTTCCAGTTGCATTAAGCAATTGTTGAAAATGGAAACTACAAGCATCATCAGCCGATACTCTGCCAAACACTACGCATGCTAATAAGGAGGACCCGCCTAATCTGTTATGACCATGAACACCCCCTGCTAGTTCTCCTGCTGCGTATAACCCTTCGAAAGGTTTGAATTTATCAGCTGACTCTTCATAAAGGACTTGGCTCTTATCATTTATTTTCACACCTCCCATCGTAAAATGAACGACTCTGCTTATGAAAGAAACGTTATAATTAGCATTTTCATCAAACTCAAATGGTGCATTGGGAAAATATTTCTTCCCAAATTCGTCTTTCACTTCATTTTTAGCAGCTTTGTTGTACTTCTCTAATTGGTCTTCGAACTTTTCCTTGGAACAATCAAACTCTTTGAGGAGGCCAGATCCATTAACAGTCTTCATCAAATTTCTAGATTTATAATGTTTGACATGAAACTCAAGCTTCTTCTTCGAGCTTTCATTAAGAACGAGTCTGATGGGACCATTTCCAGCCTTTACCTGTTTTTCAATTTCACCACTTACATAATCTCTGGTCCCAAGTTCATCTACAAACCGTTCTCCCTTGTTGTTGAAAATGAGGCCCCCTTCGCCCCTCAACGCTTCAGCACCCAAGAAAAGGAATCTCGGATGTTTCTTTCCATTAATGGTATCAGTATCATTGATGTCGATTAAGCCTGTAGGGTGGACTTGAACTTTATCCATATCGATGGCTGCACCATGATTTTTAAGAATAATTTTTTGACCATCTCCAGTAGCATGACTTCCATTAGTAGACGGCAAATCGTAGATGTCTGGTCTATACTTTCTTAATAGCGAGTTTTTTGTGAAATCAGCAGCGTAACCACCCGTTGCCATTATAACAGGGCCATTTACTTCGTGCTTCGATTTGTCTAAAAGATTCTTGAACTTAACACCAGTAATATGATGACTGTCTTCATTGTCTTTAAGCAAGTCATATACTTGGCAGTTCTTAAGGATTTTAATTCTATCTGGTTCAGATTCACTGAAACTCTCTAGCCTTTCTAACAATCTATAAGTAATTGCCATTCCAGGAAACTTGGCATCCTTCCCTCTATGAGTCCTAGGTTGTGAATGTCCTCCTAGTCTTGAAATTACAGATAGGTCTAATTCAAACACATCTTGCAACCAATGAACTGCACTTGCAGAATTATAAGTTAATACTCTAATTAGCTCCGGATTTGCTCTATCTTTTGCCGTCGCAAGGGTATCCTCGTAGAATTGCTCTACAGAGTCCTTGATGGCTAGTTTTACCTGAGTCCTCGTTAGAGCACCATTGATTCCTGAAGTCGCCTTACCACTATTTCCGCTCAAGAATCCTTGTTTATCGATTAACACCACATTAGCGCCTCTTAAATAGGCCTCATGGGCTGCCGAGATCCCCGCTAAACCACCTCCTACGATAATAATTGGACTATTTGGATATGAATAATTCTGCTCCTCTGACATGATGTTTATGAAATTTAAATGCCCTGTGAAGATATATATTAATATTTGACGGTGAATAGAGGCTTTAGTACGCTTATGTAGTTTATATAATTTGAATTTTATTGGCTCCAAAACCCTGCGTAATGCGGGGGAATCAATCCGATAAAGAATATCAAATTCTCGGAGTTTTAGTGAGAAATATATTGGAAAGCAAAGGTAACATCGTTGAATTGACTTTCGTTCCTAACCAACATATCTTCGTTTTTCTCTAAAGAGCTGTTATTTAAGTGATTCCAAGTGGTTGCATCACCATAAAGCATAGCTGGGGCTTTAATATGTTGCTCTCCGTTCTTACATCTTTTGCAATTGTACGTGTCATGGGTGTCACAAACTGTATTAGGTTGAAACTGGAATAGTTGTTTCAAGTTGTCCGAACTAAAAAGCCTTTCAACATCTTCTTTCTCATCAACTACACAGCTTGAGAGTGACATTTTCATAGATTGTCTCTGAAATATCTTTTCTTCAATTGTGCCGGTTGATATGAATCGGTATATAAAGCAGTCTTTCTTTTGGCCATCTCTCCAAACCCTCGCCAATGCTTGTTGATCAGCAGCAGGGTTCCAATCTGGATCGATTAATACGAGTCTATTTGCACCAATTAGGTTAATACCGCATCCACCAGCTTTTGAAGATAACAAAAATATAAATTCACTTCCATTTGGATCATTAAATTTGTCAACTAATTTCTGTCTCTTATTTATATTCATGGTTCCATCAAGCCTCAAGCACCCATATTTTTTATAGCGACAGAGCCTTTCAATCAAGTCTAGAGTCTGTGTATAGTTGGAAATAAGGACTATCTTGTCATCGGTCTCACTATTGATTTGATGAAGGAATCTCTCTAAAATCATAAACTTTCCACTGAACCAGCTTTGCACTTCTCTATTTCTTCCTCCACCGCTAATTGATGACGTATAATCATCGGGTATCAAATCGTCAGAGCCTTCTATGTCCTGCGGCAAGGAAAGTAAATCCGGATGATTGCAAAGTTTCTTCAACAACCCTATTGCTTTCAACGGTTGCGACCCGACGCCCCTCAAAAGCTTCTTTATTTCTGGAGATGTTATGAAATAGTCATAAAGTTTCTTCTGCATTGGTGATAGGTCTACAAATACAACGTATTCATATTTTATTGGCAAATATTTCGATAAGATGTCATTGGTCCTTCTTATGATAAATTTTGAAACTAGTCGTGACAACTCACCTAATTTCGTGTCTCCTTTCTCTCGCTCTTTATCAGTTGCATCTGCATCTCTCCCTCTCAAGATGTCATTCTCGAAGTTTTTACGAAAATCATTTCTAGTCCCAAGGTATCCTGGATTAGCAAAATTTAATAGAGAAAAGTACTCTGATAAATCATTTTGTATGGGTGTCCCTGATAGTATTACTCTTCTATCACATTTCAAAGAATTTAAGGCTGTAAAAGTCAAAGAGTCCCCATTTTTCAATCTATGCCCTTCATCAGCTAACATCAAACCTACCTCTGTATTGGCAAGCTTATCGACATTTCTTCTTAAAGTCTCGTACGAGATGATTAAAACTGGTCTCACGATATTTCTCCCCCTTGCGACCGACCACTGTTGTAATGCAAGTCCTAAGTCGCTGGACTTAGTCCGATCACCGTCAACAGCTAATGGAGTTAAAACACCTTCTCCTAACCATTTAACGATTTCATTGGCCCAATTTTTGACTAGTGAAGACGGACAGACAATTATACATTTTTCAATCGTTCTCTTTCCTCTTGGACTCTGGCGCAATAGCGTCCACATCAAAGCTAAACATTGTAATGTTTTACCTAACCCCATTTCATCAGCCATGATACATCCTTTGGCCCTTGGGTCTTCTAAACCTGCTGTACATCGATATAAGAATTTGACTCCTGCTACTTGATGTGGTCTTAAAATTTTTGCCAATCTAGGATCTATGACGACCGGAACGTCAGGATATTTTGAGGCTGCTTCTTCTGGATTCTTCACTATACCTAAGATCTCAGCAAGTGATTTGTGAGTCCTTCTTCTTTTAGCCTGCTGTTCTACTATGTTCTCTTTGTTTTCTTCTGACACGTCCGGAGAGGAGTCTCTTCCATCTTCACCTTCCTTACTTTCGGTAGATGGCACTACATCCACTGTAGGATCATAGAGTACGATTGCAAACTCACTTGTTGGATCGTGTAACGCTCTTGGAGGAACGAACACTTTTCTCTTTGTTCCTAAAGGTGGCGGGGGGCCCCTGTCAACAAATTCATCTTTCTTCTTATTGGTTTTGGAAAATGGAACTATAAAGGATCTTTTCAATACCATTTCTCTATTTGACGCATTGTTACCTTGTAAGATCTGCCTTGGGAGTAAAGCTCCAAATCTCTTCGTGGTATGAATAATATTTCCGTTCTCATCAACACCATAATCTTCGTTGCTTATACTATCACCATCTAAAATATTGTAACTTTTAACCTTGCTTCTCGCTTCTCTGATAGGTATTCCTCTGGTAGTAGAATCAGCCCCAAATGCTTGTGATCTATTGGCAAACGGAACTTTGAATGGTTGTGATAGCCTTTCAAGACCATTCTTGACAGGAGGAGGACGCTTTTCCTTAGGTATACCTGCTCCTGACCCTAAGGGTGTAGTGAACTCCGTTAAAGGCTTTCTTTTCATTGAATTTACTTAATCTCTTACGTGGTGCTATCAAATCTAATATATAAAGTAAATAAAAACAACGCGAAAAGGGCTCTACAAAACATCAAAACTTCTCACAATATACGTAGATCATTGCGGTCATAACCTGAGAATGGATCAAATACTCGCAAAGGCAAGCAGCCAAGCGGTGACATTTGCCATAAGGTCAGGAATCTCACTAGCATCAGGGTTTGCTATCAAAACAATATCAAAGTTTCTAGATAGGATCCCGGAGCAGGAGAAGAGAAGAATACTAGTGACGAAAAATAAAATTCAAACAAAGATATCTATTCTTTCTGTAAGCATTGAACTAATTAGACTTGCTGCTGCTAGAGGAAATACTTCTTTGGAATATACTTTAACATTAATTAATGACCTCAATAATGAATTTGAAATGTTTGATGATACAGTCGAAGCAATCACCAATGGACTAAATAACAGCAATGAAATGGATTCTGTCAAGAAAGTAGAGAAATATATGGAGGATCTCCTTTCCCAAATCAATGAGAGCATTCCTATTCTTAATTTGTCATTAGTGACATGTGGAGTCAGCTTAAATGGGAACTTGCCCGGTTCTATTTCACCTGGAAGACTATTACAAGCATCAAACTATTTAGTGAAGTCTAACGAAAATTTCAACGGAAGCGATCCAATTCGAGTTGGTCCATCTTTTGATATGGTTTTCTATACAGTTTTTTACAATCCCAGCCGATTGAAATACATTAACGAGGAAGATAATGAATACGTTGATGAACTAACATGCATATCTTGGAAGGAGCAATTCGCAAGATCTGTGGTAACTATCTTGAGAGAACCCAATAAAAATGATCCAGTAGATTATCGATATCTGCTACAAATTGAAGAGGATTTTAATGACTCAAGGTATCATGATGAAGACTCGACACCTCAGGTTCGTAAAATTGATATTGACACCATAAGCAGGTTGTTTTTCAGCGCATCAGGCAAGCTTCTTCGTTTAGAAAATAGGAGCTCTTCGGTTTTGACCGTGAAACTAATTGATAATGACAATAAGGAAGAATGGATTGCGCTAGGAGAAATAAAAGTTGGCGAATTTGATGATCAGCTGGACACTGAAGAAGAGGATGATGATGATGATGATGATGATGATGAAAATCAACATGGAGGTTCTAAAGAAAGATCTTCAAGTAATAAGGCTAACTCATTATCGCTTTTGGAGTATTTAATCAGATTGACTAAGGTTCAACTGTCAGAGCAGAAATCGGTACTTGAAGTGACAGACGAGAAATTATCAATTTACTTAAAAGACGAGAATGAAGAACAATCCAAAATTGAAATTGTACCCAAAAGTAAAGTTCACAGAGACAAAGAAAGGAGTAAGAGCAGCAAGTTGAACGAGTCCATCACCTTAACTTCTAACATTGACAGGTTGAAAATTCTCGACTTAGACAAGTAGTACAATTTTTTTGAGGTTTCTATAAGACTATTTAAGTTTAGAATACAAGTTGTATAACGTCGGAACATTAATATGGAGCTACTCGATAGATTGACTAAAATGAAGGTCATTCTTCGTCTCATAAATGGGCGGCATCAAGTCGTTAAATAAATTAGTATTCACATCGAGCTCTTGTTGAAATTGATTCTGGTCCGATGAAGAACCAAAACTATTACTTTTTTGAGAATCAGAACCAAACTCGTCTTGAGGCAGACCGTGCTGTTGTTTAAGTCGTTGCATTTGACTTTGTATTTGAGTCTGGGGCTGACTTTGTGATTGAGACAGAGCCTGTAATTGTGGTTGAGCCTGGAGTTTTGATTGAGCTTGAGTTTGAGACTGAATCTCAGATTGGGAAGGCCGCGAAGATCTTACGCGTTGTTGATCATGCTGTATTTCATTATTCGTCAGGCTCCTGGAATCGCTCAGGGGACTTACGAGTTGTTTATACTCCTCTAGCTGCAACGTATAGTTATCATTAAAGATACTTCCATCAAATAAATCTTCATTCATAGTGTAGTTCAGACTCAAGTCTGATTTGTTCCACTCAGACGGTCCTGAAGGTGGAAACGCAGATGAATTTGATTGATTGGGCAAATTGGTTAAATTTGATATGCTATCAAAATTTCTACTTGCATTCGTCGCTGTTGATGAAGTCGAAGCCATCGATAGAACACTTTCAGGTCTCTTGGGTCGTATTGGTTGGTAATGATGTGAGTGCGTAGAGCCTGCTTTAATAGGCTTTGGTTCTATAGTACCAAAAGAAGAAAATGGATTATTCCCATTCTGATCAGGGGAGTGAGTCTTTGTATCAGTTGAGCTATTAGAAGCACCTCTGCTCAAACCCAACTGTCCTTGCTCCGGAAGAGCCAGTAAGGGCCTGGATTGATTATCGTCCAAATTCCCACTTCCTACCAAGGGAAATAAAGGAAACATTTTATTCATCAACTCTACTTTCTCTTTTTCTCTTCCTTCATCTTTCGATAAACCGCTATTAGATCTACTAATGCCGACTGGATTAGGTGCACTATTATTGTTGAAATTACTTGTCGATGAACCGGTAGGCGAAATCGATGCAGAGTATTGCACTTCACTACTGCCGTTCAAGTTCACATTCAGATCTGATCTGTCGGACTGCGAAAATAAGTCAAATAGACCATTTCCTGTCTCAAAAGGAATTAAAACGTCCTCAAATACATACTCCGAATTCAATGGATTATAAAGACCATTTGTAGTGCTTGAGTCAGACAATTCTGCTTTATTACCTAAACCCTTTATGTTGGCATCAGACATACTTTTCACTACTTTTTTCTTTACCTTCTCGTTCTTCTTTGTTCCACTTGATGAGCAAGTACAGTGGGAATTCTTATGACAAGCACAAGATGCTTGGTGCACGGCCGGCGACTTACCTTTCTTCCCACACATACATGACACATGCAAACTCTTATGTTTTCTCTGTTCACGACAGTGCTGACACTGAGAGGCTGGCCTCCCTTTAGGTTTAATCATAGTCAATGGTTGATCTGTGTGTGTACACGTAGTTACTCGATGACCTCTTATACACCGCTCGCACGCATACTTGACGCCGTTTATTAAAACCATCCTTGCAAAGTCTTGCCGCTTATGCTTAACAATCACTCCTGAACTCCAGTTTTCCGTAAGGAATAAGTTTTTATTATATATTATACTCTATAACTGTATTTTGACGTAATGGTAGTTCTCTTTGCTGTTTCCTGAGTAGGGATTTGTAACAAGAAAAGATCTGCCATTATGATATAAGCTTAGAAAGTTTACTTTTGTGATACTTTTCTATATTATGTTGTGCGCCTACCACTATTTTGCTGCTATTTTTCTGTTTCTTTTGTTTCGTGGTGCGGGTGTGATGGATCTTGTGCAGGCATATGCTTATTTTTTGCTAACGACTAACAGCCGGTGTGGCAAGTACAGGCGGCTATAGCAAGTGGCGGAACGAGGGAAATTGCGTTGTGAGGCTGCGCTCCTGGACGGGTTGCGAATAGTTTCTGGACCGATGAAAAGAAACTGGACTATTTGGGGGCGCGATAATGTCTGACGTGGGTGTGAGTCTATCTACCAAAAAAGCTTACTGCATTATTTTACAGACAGACAGACAGAAAGACAGAGAAGTCGGTCAGTCGGTCAGTCAGTCAATTGCTAACTCGAAAAGAAAACTGCTGCTTTAAATGACTGCGCTTTCTATATTATCTGTTCATGAACGTCAGTCAAGAAAGAAGTTTAAGTCTACTTTGGCCGCTATGCTTTTGTTTCTTGAAACTGAATGCTACTTCGGGTTTTAAGTTTCGAAAAGCGGGTTAATGTTTTATATACAGGTCCGCGATAAGCCTACACTGTGGAGAGCTTGCGCAGGATTAGTTTAAAAAGAAAGCTCATAGGTTGGTTTAAGAATAGAGAGTATATCACAACATGGTTGACATAGAGGAAGTACAGAAGCATAATACTAAGAAAGACTGTTGGGTGATCATCCACGGTAGGGCCTACGATGTAAGTCACTTTATTGATGAACATCCAGGGGGATCTAAAGTAATTCTTAAATACGCTGGTAAAGACGCAACGAAGGAATTTGATCCTATCCATCCCGGAGACACATTGACGAAGTACTTGTCACCAGAACATCATAAAGGTGAAGTCACGGGTATGGAAAAGCTAAAGAAGAAGAAGAAGAAGGCTGCTAACGTGAAAGCTGCAGAGCCAAAGGCAGCAGCGCCCGTTGGAGCTGAACTGGCTCAGTCGCCAAAGGCTGTTGGTGATCAAGTAGTTGATGAATATGATGTTCAATATGACGAGCAAGAGAATAAAGAGCCATTACCAGCTACTCTGGTTACTCAGAATGGTGATTCCGTGGCAGTGGAAGTTACTTCGGATGAGGATGACGAGTATGATGATGACGAAGATGACCCGCCTAGTGAGGAAGAGTTGGAAAGACGTAAGATGGTCAAACTTAAGCCGGAATTATCCTTCATATACAACTTGAATGACTTTGAGTTTGTTGCTAGACACACGATGGATAAGATAGCTTGGGCTTATTACTCCTCTGGTTCGGATGATGAAATTACTCTTAGAGAGAATCATTTGTCTTATCACAGGTTTTATTTTAAGCCTCGTATTTTAGTGGATGTGACTAACATAGATACTTCAACTACTATGCTAGGTACTAAGTGCTCTGCTCCATTCTATGTTACAGCTACTGCGTTGGGTAAATTGGGACATAAAGACGGTGAGACTGTGTTAACAAAAGCTGCTGCAAAGCAGGATATAATACAGATGATCCCCACGTTAGCTTCATGTTCTTTCGATGAGATCGTGGATGCAAGTGATGGAAAACAAACTCAATGGTTCCAGTTGTATGTAAACAAAGATCGTAAGATTTGCGAGAGTATCGTTCGTCATGCTGAGGAGAGAGGCGTGACAGGTTTGTTTATTACTGTTGATGCACCACAACTTGGAAGACGCGAGAAGGATATGAGATCAAAAAATGTTGAAGAATTAAGTAACGTTCAAGGTGACGATGAGGATGCTGACAGAAGTCAAGGTGCAGCCAGAGCAATTTCTTCATTTATTGATACTGGCTTGAGTTGGAAGGACATAGCTTTTTTCCGCTCTATCACCAAGATGAAGTTAATTTTGAAAGGAGTTCAATGTGTAGAGGATGCTCTTTTGGCGGTTGAAAATGGGCTCGATGGTATTGTACTCTCTAACCATGGTGGTAGGCAATTAGAATTTTCGCCTCCTCCAATTGAGGTTCTTGCAGAGCTTATGCCAATTTTGAGAGCCAGAAACTTGCAAGATAAGATAGAAGTATTCGTAGATGGTGGTGTAAGAAGGGCAAGTGATGTTTTGAAGGCTATCTGTCTTGGAGCTAAGGGAGTGGGCATCGGTCGTCCATTCCTTTATGCTATGTCAACTTATGGGGTTGACGGTGTTTTTAAGGCTATCCAAATTTTAAAGGATGAGATGATTATGGATATGAGATTATTGGGGGTGACTTCTATAGACCAGTTGGATGATTCTTATATCAACTCAAAGATATCTGCCAGATTTGTTCCTGATGACAAGCTTTTTAGTGGAATTTATCAACCATTAACATCTCCAGCCTTTAAGGACTCAAAGTTATAGTCTATAGAAAAATAGAGACCAGACTTCATTAAATGCAGGAATGTGAAATGTTACGACTGCATGTAGATTTCTCAAACGCGTTTTTGTCCCTCTCAGAAGTTCAACGTAAAATCTTAAAACAAAGATCAAACATTTATATCACGTACTAACTAAACGACGATTTATCTATAATCAATCTTTAAGAAGTCTTTCTAGATCGATTTGTTTACAACATACGTTGAGATTTCACGCATAGAATCTGTCCTTAAGTGAACGTTAATTTGGTAAAAGAAGTGAAATCGACAAGTGTCAGATTCGAGGGCTCAGTGAATCTAATAGGAGTTATTGATATTATAGCTATTGAAATAGGTCTGGAATTCTTCAAGTCTCTGGGTCTGTTATAATAGCGGCTTGCACTAAACGCCTTTTTAATTTTTTTTTTTTTTGTTCTAATACCTTGGATCCAATAACTCGAGAATGGTTTCTGATTATGACGTTGGTACTCGTTGTTGGTATCCTGATGAGAAATACGGATGGATTGGTACAACTGTCAAATCTAATGTAAAGGAGGGAAATAAGCATTTGATAGAGTTAGTTTCTGACAACGACGATTCTACTGTCTTCAAATTTGAAGCGGACAATTTAAGCGAAGACAATGATAAATTACCTCCTTTACGGAACCCTCCTATTTTGGAGGCCGCTGAAGATTTAACGAGCTTGTCTTATTTGAATGAACCTGCTGTTTTGCATGCGATTAAAGTCCGTTACTCTCAACTCAATATTTACACTTATTCTGGTATCGTTTTGATTGCAACTAATCCTTTCCAGAGAGTAGACCAGCTTTATTCACAAGATATAATTCAGGCTTATGCCGCGAAGAGAAGAGGTGAATTGGATCCACATTTATTCGCAATAGCAGAAGATGCCTACCGCTGTATGAAAATGGATGGGAAAAATCAGACGATAGTTGTGAGTGGTGAGTCAGGTGCTGGTAAGACTGTTAGTGCAAAGTATATTATGAGGTATTTTGCATCAGTAGATGAGGAATCTGAATTGGAGACAAATATTGGGACCGACCATAAGTCAGATATGTCTGACGTAGAAAAACAAATTTTGGCCACTAATCCCATAATGGAAGCCTTCGGAAATGCTAAGACCACTAGAAATGATAATTCTTCTAGATTTGGTAAATATTTGGAAATTCTATTTGATAAATCTACGTCAATCATTGGTGCTAGAACAAGAACATATTTATTGGAGAGATCTAGATTGGTTTTTCAACCATCGACGGAAAGAAACTATCATATATTTTACCAAATGTTAGCAGGAATGCTGGAAGCTGACAAAGATAAGTTGAGCTTAAAGACTGCTGATGATTATCTTTACACAAACCAGGGAGGGCAATCAAAAATTGAAGGAGTTGATGATTTGGAAGATTTTAACGCGACAAAAGAAGCTATGACTTTAATTGGCATAGATGACTCCAATCAATTTGAAATCTACAGAATATTAGCTGCTCTTTTACACATTGGTAACATCGAAATAGCACCGTCGCGAAATGATGCACGTTTATCTTCGGATGAGCCAAATTTAGTCAAAGCGTGTGACTTATTGGGACTTGATGCTATGAACTTTACCAAATGGTGTATCAAAAGACAGATCACAACTAGATCAGAGAAAATTGTCAGTAATTTGAATCACTCCCAAGCGATCGTGGCCAGAGATTCTTTCGCTAAGTTTATATATGCTGCCTTATTTGACTGGTTGGTCGACTACATTAACTCCGATTTATGTCCCCCAGCTGTGAGTGAAAAGATTTCTTCTTTCATCGGAGTTTTGGATATATATGGGTTTGAGCATTTTGAAAAGAATTCGTTTGAGCAGTTTTGCATCAATTATGCCAATGAAAAATTGCAACAGGAATTTAATCAACATGTTTTCAAACTAGAACAAGAAGAATATGTGAAGGAAGAAATTGAGTGGTCTTTCATTGACTTTGCTGACAACCAGCCATGCATCAATTTGATTGAAAATAAATTGGGAGTTTTATCATTGTTGGATGAGGAATCGCGATTACCAGCAGGGAATGACAATTCATGGATTCAAAAAATGTACCAAACACTAGACAAGGAGCCAACAAATAAGGTCTTCAAAAAACCAAGATTTGGACAGAATAAATTCATCGTTAGTCACTATGCTCTTGATGTTACATATGACATTGATGGTTTTATCGAAAAGAATAGAGATACAGTGGGAGAAGGTCATATAGAAGTTTTGAAGAATTCTTCGAATGAGCTCTTACAATCCGTTTTGGCTATTATTGAAAAGAATAGTGCTGCCTTGGAAGCCTCAAAGCCAGCTAGCAATTCAAGAGTCAAATCAGTTGCTACCAAAAAACCAACTTTAGGGTCGATGTTCAAGAACTCTTTGATTGAGTTGATGAAAACTATCGATTCGACCAATGTACATTACATCAGATGTATAAAGCCAAATGAGCACAAAAAAGCGTGGGAATTCGATTCCTTAATGGTTTTATCCCAGTTACGTGCTTGTGGTGTTTTAGAAACTATTAGAATATCTTGTGCTGGGTTCCCATCCCGGTGGTCTTACGTTGAATTTGCTGATAGGTATCATATCTTGGTCTCTTCAAGTCTTTGGATACCGGTCATGAGTGGTGATACTACCCAGGAATCGGTAACTGACTTATGTAATAAGATACTATCAACTAACATAAGTGACAAGGCCAAATATCAGTTGGGTAATACTAAAATATTCTTCAAGGCAGGTATGTTAGCACATTTAGAGAAATTGAGAACAGAAAAACTTTATAAATCTGCTGTTATGATTCAGAAGAATATGAGAAGGCGTTACTGGAGGCACAAATATTTGGCTATCAGAGAGTCACACATCAAGCTTCAAGCGTTGGTTCGTGGTGTCATTAGAAGAGCCTTGATAAAGAGGGAGGCGGAAAACAATGCTGCTACAAAGATTCAAACGGCAGTAAGAGGATATCTCGTGAGAAAGAGAGTCAACGATACTCGTAATTCCATCGTTGTTTTACAGAGATCCATTAGAGGTTTGCAAGCACGTAGGAACTATAACAAGTTGAGAACCGAAAAATCTGCTGTCGTACTTCAAAAATCTTGGAGAGGGCATGCTGTACGAAATGAATATAATAAGAAACGTCAATCCGCGATTTTGTTGCAATCGCATGTTAGAAGGAAAATGGCTGTTAAGGAGTACAAGCAACTAAAGGTAGACGCTAAATCTGTGAATCGGTTGCAAGAAGCTTCTTATAGATTGGAAAATAAAGTTATCGAATTGACTCAGTCATTAACTTCTAAAATTCAAGACAACAAGAAGTTGGTCAATGAGATAGCAAATTTAAAAAATTTGCTCGATCAGTCTAATAATGCACACGAAATTTTGAAATCTAGAGAACTCGAATTCAATGAGAAATTTGATTCACAAAACAACGATCATCAAAGAGAAATTGCAAATTTGAACAAAGAATTAGATGTTATTAAATCTGAATACGCTTCGGCTGAAAAGAAAATCGAGCAATTGTCTCAGGAGCAAGCAGGATTGAGGCAGGATGTTCAAAGAAATATTGAAGAATTGAACCGTGCTAAGGATGCTTTAGTCAAACGTGACACAATAGAAGTTGATTTGAAATCTCATATTGAGCAGCTCAAGTCAGAGCTTGCGACTTTGCAATCTCAACAGCAGAGAGGAATGGTAAATAGCTCTAGAAATGTCAGCGGAAAGCGTCATAGTAGCGCTTTGGCTTGGAACAATCCATCCTCATATGAGCAGTCTAATGGTAATAGACCTGTTTCAGTCATTGCTGTTTCAAATGATGACGAAGCAAGCGCTGACGATATCAATGATGAGTTGTTCAGATTATTAAGAGATTCAAGACAATTGCACAGGGAAATAGTAGAAGGCTTATTGAAGGGATTGAAGATACCTCCTGCTGGAGTAGCTGCAGACTTGAGCAGAAAGGAAGTCTTATTCCCAGCGAGAATAATTATCATTATACTATCTGATATGTGGAGGTTGGGTTTAACTAAAGAAAGTGAAGAGTTTTTGGGAGAAGTTTTAGCGGCAATTCAACAAATTGTGTCAACATTAAAAGATGACGACGTTATTCCCAATGGTGCCTTTTGGTTATCTAATACTCACGAGTTATATTCTTTCGTATCTTATGCGCAGCAAACCATCATCGCTAATGATACTCTTTCACATGAAATGAGCGAGGAAGAATTCGATGAGTATTTGAAACTAGTTGCTGTTGTCAAAGAAGATTTTGAATCTCTCTCTTATAACATATACAATATGTGGATGAAAAAGATGGAAAAGGACTTAGAGAAAAAAGCGGTCTCGGCTGTTGTATTGTCTCAGTCCTTGCCCGGATTCATGGCTCCTGAAAGTTCTCCATTTTTAGCCAAGGTTTTCTCACCTGGTGTGCAATATAAAATGGATGATATTTTGAGCTTTTTTAACTCAGTTTATTGGTCGATGAAATCATATTTTATTGAAAATGATGTTATGAATGAAGTGATTATAGAATTGTTGAGATTTGTGGATGCATTATGTTTCAATGATTTAATAATGAGACGCAATTTTTTGTCGTGGAAAAGAGGTTTGCAATTAAATTATAATGTAACTAGGTTAGAAGAATGGTGTAAAGGTCATGAGATTCAAGAAGGCTCTGGATATTTAAGTCATTTGCTTCAGGCTGCTAAGTTATTACAATTAAGAAAAAATACCCCTGACGACATTGAGATCATCTATGAAATTTGCTATGCATTGAAACCAATCCAGATTCAAAAATTAATATCTCAGTACTACGTGGCAGATTATGAGACACCCATCGCACCTAATGTCTTACAAGCTGTCGCCGATAGGGTGAAAGCAAATGATGGGGCTGCTAATGATGATCTATTTGAAGTGGTGTCAACTGATGGACACTTCAATGATCCATTTAGAACCGTTGCTTTGAGACCTTTTTCAAGAGTGGAAGCATATGTTCCAGCATGGTTGAATTTGCCAGTCATTAGAAGAATTGTAGAATTAGTTGCTAAGAATGCATCAGTTCAAGATTTTACAAATTTAGAGGAAAATGGTTCAGAAATCACCACTAACGGTGCTGCTATCCAGGCATAGATTTATTTCGTATAAAGATGTTTGTATTTTTGTTTTATATAGTATCGTTAATGAATAAATGGTCGCTCTAATAACTACAATAATTTTTTTTTTATACTTTAACTTCGGAAGATGTCTTTGTCTTCATCTGTAAAGCATGAACTCCACCATTTTTGAGCTCATCATCTAGCAACTGGTATATCAACCTATGTCTCATAGGCATGTTTTTTCCCTCAAATTCGTCACTTATGACTTCAATTCTGAAATGTGACTCAGAAACATTAGAAGCTCCTCTCATACCAGCGTGATGTGAATGCTTATGTGAATCATTGCATATTTTCAAATATGAAGGTTTTAATTTTGTAGTGAGTTTTCCTATGATTGAAAGCTCTATAGGGCCCGGATTATCAGACTTAATTAATTCTAAAGCCATTGAATATGTCCTTTTGTGAATTTCTGTGAATTTCTGTAGTAATGGAAGCCTTAACATTGGCTCTTAATGATTCGGTTTTACAGATATGAAAAAAAATTATTATACTGTTCCGCATTTTTATGCGGAATTTTGTTTTGTATGTTACTTTAAAGACATTATACACATTATAAATTACTTATAGAACCATGTGATTATATTTGATATCTGTCTATGATAGCAGACTCAAGTCATCTGGTCTATGTGTAGATTGCATTTGATTTATTTCACCTGGCGTAAAATACTGATACAAGGCAATTAGAATAAAGAAAACAAATTAACGATACTTTACTGGTTGGCCCTTCTCTCTTCTTGCACGAAGCTTAGATTGTCTTTTACTTTCAGAAGGCGTAGCATCTTCGCTGGGTGGCTCTTTTGATTTTTTGAAATAAGGTAATGCAAACTGGGCCACCGTATACACAGCAAATCCAGGAATAATTGAAAAGAGCCACCAAACTTTATTTGTACCAAACACGGTCATCAAAATATCAATTGCCCAAGTTATGTATAACACATCGAACATGTACTCGTAGAGTCCCGAACGTGAGATGTCATCTCCTGATTTAACTAGTTTTTTGTTATTTGAGTAAGCATCGATTGAATATACGGGCCTTCCGTTCTTTTCCAAAACGTATTGTAATATTAATGCTGGAATTGAAAGCAAAATATAGGGTTTACTAGAACTGGGTCTCTTTAGTATTAACACTGCTAGCAAGGAAACGGCGTTGATCGCAATTGATACGAGATGAGTAGTTTGTAAAATCTCACTATTTCTCGTTGCTAGTTTCTTAGAACTCTGCGCCGCCATCCTAATTGTCAATGAAATAAATGTTAAGTCCTATACGACAAAATTTTCCTCCTATGTATATTTCTATTGTAACTTTATCATAAGGACGTCGAAATATTTCGTTGCGCACTGAAGTGTAAACGCCATCAGCTTCCCGAAATTTTACGATATACACCTTTAGAGATACAATATTACAAGGTCCGTTTAAAAAAAAAAATTCGTTTGCTATTAAAATGAGTTCTAGTAAAGGGTCAGAGGCTCTGGTAGCTATAAAATTTTACGTCTTCTTAATATTCTTTTGAATTTTGATAGGTTCAATATATCTCTTCAATAACCCCTTGAATGTAGTGCTGTATGTGTACTTGAGAGACGGTGGGGCACTTGGATGCATTAATAACTGGTTTATCTTCGTATCCCATTGGTTAAATACGGCTTGAGTATATTGGTTAGAATCATATCTCAACTTCAAGAACACGACAATTGTTGCAAACAAAAATACATTGACCAAAACGTATAAGGGGTTTCTGAAGATTCTGAAAGCACTCAACGGAATTGAAATGAAGACACCGCTTAGCATTATCGTCTCCGAATTGGCTGCAATAAATAGAGCCTGCTTATTGTATCCCGTTGTAAACCGAGTGATTGCGGAAGAAATCGAATTCTTCCTCGAAGCCCCAATTGGCAAGCCAGACACTATGTTAGTCTGAAAGTAACTTAAACTATGAAAAAGTGAAAAGATTGCAAATGAATACAATCCACCAGTCACTTGCCCGACTATGAAACTTGAAGCAAAGAATACCAAGGCAAGTATCAAGTATTGTACGTTTTCATCCTTTAGTAACTGATACCTAAAGCCTGGATCGGAGATCGATTTCAAAGTCTTCTTGGCCTGTCCTTTGAAGAATATTTGTCTTATGACAATGAAATAGCTTAGGAGAATAGCAAGCAAACAGAGGCGATATACTCTGAGCGATCTTGAAAAAAAGTTCAATACAAAGAAAACTAATGTTAAGACATGTCCCAAGTACCAATAAAACTGTTGAGTTCTCAAAAGAGGAAGTATGCTATGGTTGGACCTATTGTTTCCAGCCTGATTTGTTGTACCCATTTATTGATATTCTAGCCTGAATGTAAAGATTTACCTTATCGCTGGCTCGAAGGATTCAAGAAAAAAAGGCACAATATTACGCTCCAAAGTGCAAAGTTTAAGCGAGAATATTACTTTTGCATGTTAGGGTGCCAGTCATGATTATTTGAAATGTTTGGAGCAATCGAGGTTACAAGAGAAGTACAATTATTACAGGTACAAATTAAAATTGTTTGAAAAAGTTCTTAATACGAAGACGAAGTAAGAAATGGACTTCTGCTTTTTTCTAATCGGATGTAAGTTGACCATATCTCTTACCGCCAAATCTACTTAACGCTAAAATTAGCGGTGGCAGTTGTACAAAAGTACTTGATTGAGGTTCACCATAGAGCTGATTCAATTATGCTAATTATTTGTAATCTCTCGTATGCGTGGGTAGCGTACGAAGTTACACGATAGTTCCCGTTTCGTGCGCCCTTACTTCAACGGGCATATACTAACCTACTACGATAGTTCGAGAGTTTAACAAACCATTAAAAGATGTTGGCAACATAACATGCTATTGCGGGAATTGTCATAACCAGTCAGCGTATCCAATTAGAACGATTAATTGTGTTACTTTGTTCTTCATTCCGGTGTTGCCATTTTATTTCTCCAAAAGACTAAAATGCTCCATATGCGGTGCATCCGCTGACATTAATAGCACCGTTTTGGATAAACTACACCAAGGTCAGCCGGTCGCTATTGGATAGATGGCTTATGCTTGAGCCGTATTATCCGCTTCTTTTATTAAATATACGGAATAGAAATTTGCATCCGTGTTTACCAAGATTAATTTTCTGTAGGTTTCGATCGATCGCACCATTTTAGCCACCTCTACATGACCATAAGATTATTAGCGTGGTTGATGACCATCAAAGTTTCCTAGTAAAGTGACTAATTTCCGTATCATCCGTAGTGTTTTCTTCTACCAGACATGATATAAATGAACCTTTCTTGTCGTTGAAAGAAGCTTGATAATCTCTAGAATCAATAATAGTATCTCCTATAGAAAACTTAATTCGATTATTAATATGGTATCAACTATAAATTTGGTGTCACGTGCAGGCAATCAAGCCTTAGAAGTGAATCCACCCCCTGCGTCTATTGACATTCACTTAACTGATCATGGTTCTGATTGGTTGTGGGCTGCCTTCTCCATATTCGGACTTTTTGCAATTTGTCATGCGTTTATTTACGGCTTCACGAGCTCTAAGACACAGGGATTGAGAAAGGCTTTGCTTCCGATTCCTTTATTCACAAATGCAATTATGGCTTACACTTATTTTACTTATGCTGCTAACTTGGGTTATACATCGACAGATGTAGAATTTCACCATGTTACTACTAGTGAAGACCTTGGAAATAGACAGGTATTCTACGTAAAATACATTGGTTGGTTCTTGGCTTGGCCATTTGTGTTATTTTCTATGGAAGTTGCTGCACACAAGTTAGATGAGTCTGAAATTACCAGCGTTGCCGATGTTGTAACAAGGCTTATCTCACGTATCCAAGCTTTGTTCACAAAGCTTTTGGCTACGGAAGTGTACGTCTTAGGTCTTTTGATTGGTATTTTAATTAATTCCTCCTATAGATGGGGTTACTTTACTTTTGCTGTTTCTGCACAATTATTTGCAATGACATTACTTTGTGTTCAATTGTTTAGGTCTGCTACATCCGTTGCTTCTAACGCTGCAACTTACGTTATTCTCTTCGAAATGATTGTCTGGATATTATATCCAATTAACTGGGGTTTAAGTGAAGGCGGTAATAAGATACAGCCGGATAGTGAAGCCGTCTTTTACGGTATCTTAGATCTTATCACTTTTTCTTTCGTTCCGACTATCTTGACGTGGATAGCCATTTCAGGATTAGATGAAAACTATTTCAGGAATATTCTTCATTTCAGACACCCGGTTTCAGAAAAGCCGATTGCTGAAACTCCAAGAGGTAGTGGGGAGACTGCTGTTCATGAACCAGAGCCTGAATCCAACAATGCTGTCGAGGATGTGTAATGTGGTTAAGTGTGTCGACTCTTATTTCTCGTATTTTTTTAATTTCTTTTAAGATTTGACGAAATTTAATAATTTCGCAACCATTTACGATTCTACGAGTTACAACCACAAGTGTACATACATTGAGATTATCTTCATAGTTTAATTTGCTGTTGTTCGAAGATAATTTTTTTCATATTTTTAATATATACCTTCATTGTAAATCTTTTTGTAACTTAAAGCTTTCAAATATTTAACTATTTCCTCTATATGACTTTACTAATCTTACGAAAAGCTCACAATTTAATTTATAAGAGTAAAATTTTACTATTAAAAGTTGATAATCCTCATGGTAGCATATCCAATTGTGACTATAATGAAATATGCGATCACAGAACTGGGAACACCCCTAGTGATGAAAGTTCCAACGGTCAAATACGGCTTTCCAAATTCATCCGTCATACAAATTGCAGTTACATTAGGGAACCCAGAAGTTGGTAAACCCATTGCCGCAGAGCATAAGAGTGCACTGGCCATTATCAACAACCTTGGATGTGGCTCGGGCATCTTATTGCCTATTTCTGAAACTAATGGAATTATGATCAATGCTGCTACCGTATGGGAAACAAATGTTGCAACTGTCAAAATCAAAAGACCAAATGTCAAAGTTACGCCCAATAAAGAGAAACCTTCAACATGATTTTGAATGGAGACTGCAATAGTGGCAAGGAGACCCGAGGATGAAACCGCTTTTCCCAAAGCTGTACCTCCCATTGCCAATATGACAATATTCCAAGGATAATTATTGAAATCTTCTGCTGTCAACAATCCAGGTCCAAAAAATAGTAGCAAAGGCAAAAGTGCGATGATACCCATTTCTCCGAAAATACTTTCTAGCCTCGAAGCAATGCACCATAAGAATATAGTTCCTATAGACACAACAGCGACGTACCATTGAACAAGAGTGAATTTATCGTCAATGGTTCGGAAGGCAACTAATTGAGTATTGTGCGAATTGCAATTAAATGTGATCAATAAGAAAACCCAAATTAATAATAGCGACAAAACACAAACAGGAAGCGATATAATAAACCACTGAGCCCAAGAAGGTGGAGGATCCATAGCTCCAATTGCTATTATGTTTTGCGGCGAAGCAATTGGAGAAGCCATGCCTCCGATATTAGACGCTAATGCAATACCCAAAATTAAGGACTTAATAAATTGAGAGCCCCTCGGAAGGGTCCTCAAAAGGGGTTGTATTAGAGAAAAGCATAAAACGGGAGCAGCCACGTTAGAAACCCACATAGAAGCAAATAAAGCAACTCCCATTATAGTCAATAAGACGATTGATGGAGATGTTCCCGCCTTCGACAAAATCCATGTAGATATCAATTTTGCTATCTGGTATTTGGATAGTGCTGCAGCTAATGTAAAACCTCCTAAAAGTAGTAATATCACAGAATTCCACATAGTTGATAGAATATATTTCGAAGAAGAAGGCGCATCCATTACACTACCATCGTCGTTTTTCAAAACTTTCAAGCTCACAACCAAGACTGGAACCAACAATGAAGTAACAAATAATGGAACAGTCTCAGTCGCCCACAATAACGAGGCACAGAGAACTAGACTGAAGCAATGTTGTTGCTGTTTATCTTCAAACAATGACATGTTCAAGAAAATAATAGTAATTACTGTGATTGATATTAGCTTTATAATTCTAGGATTTTTCAAAGAAATATTAAACTGAAAGGTCGCTTTCTTATTGTCCTTCTCGTTCGTGACGGTGTCCTTTGTGGTGTTCGCAGCCTGTGATTTCCTCTCTAGTCCTATCATATCTCTCCATACTGTGTTTCGTTCCCATACTACGTGCTCTCTCAAATGAATAGATAATTCAGATTTAGCCAATTCTAAACCGTTTCCATGATTACAAATCATTGCATATAAGCTAACCAACGATTCTAAGTTTTCATCGACTTTTGCTTTGGTGGAAGGCTTGAAAACATAGGACCTCAAAGGTAAATTAGTTAAATAATCATCTTTCAAGTGAGTATTTAAAGACTTATCAAATTTCTTCAACGCCTTTTTAAATCCAGTTTCATTCAATTCAATATATGACTTAAGTTCAGACAAAGTGGTATATAATCCAATCACCCTCTTTCTTAAAATAACTCTATTCTCAGACAAAAGAACCATCAGAGGAGGTAAATTGGACGCACTTCTGTTAAGATTATTCCAGACATCTTGTGCCCTAGGGGATTTTAAATATTCATTTATTGACTTTGTAGTCTCTAATGCATTACCCCTCGATTTAGACCTTCCCCTATCGCTGTTGATATCACCTTCTTCATGGTCATCATAGTCTGCGTTATCTTCTTCAGCTTGAGTGTATGTTTCAGGATCTGTTGTAGTACCATAATCAGCAGAAGCCCCAGAGCCAGCACGGTCCCGATTCCTCTTACTCTTATTCAAACTGAAGTCATTAAAATCAGAGTCGTTCCTACCACGAAAGCTAGTTGCTGTGTTCAATTCATTCTCAAAATCTTCCATATCAGCAACCAATTCTTCAAGACTTTTAAAGATTATCTTTTCTTGTGCTTGATAAAACTCGTCAATCTTCTTTAATTCAGCATCTAGAGCTGCTAAAAAGACACTCGATGGATCACCATTATTTCCAGGCACCGATGAATAGTTGGATAGAAGCTGACTAGACTCGATGTCATTACCTGGCGAATGTAAAGAATTCCTTTGTAATGTGTAAATTAATTTCTTTAACGTAGTATAAGCGATGTACTTCGACGACCACTCAGGGACGGCATTAAACTGCAATGAATGAGAGAATTTCATTATCTATTAAAAAGAATACGTTGCATCCGCCTCACGACTATTTAAAAAAGGGTGGGTCCTTACTTATCGTTGATAGAAGAATATACTCGCCAGACTTGTGATGATATCTGTCAATGGTATACACACGCCGAACACAAATGTAGCTTAGATCAGTAAGTTGAATCAGAGAAACTGGAGTGACAAACGACATTTGCATGAATGTTAAAGGCTCTGAGTATTAATCATAGAGCTTATGGGGAATACCCCTTCTACATTAAATTTTACTAATAAGCTCATCTTTTTGAACGACCAATGAAAATGAACTGAGCAATTAGACCAACTTATATATACCGATTACTAAGCCCAGCGGACAACACTGCTTCAATTCTGTTACTCTTTACTCATTCGTACGCTTGTTATCTTGACAATGACCATTCTAAAGAGGTTCAGCTTATATCTCTGGTCGTGCTTTTGATAATAAACGGTTTACTCCACGGGCGAATCGGTCCCTATTATAATCACGTATCGCAAATCGAGAAACCGCCGCTATCACTCTCTTTTTATATATATGTCTTTATTTCAGGATTTAAGAAGTTTAATAATTAATAAAGATATAATAAAGCAACTGATAGACACACCACTTAATAACGACGCAAGCAACTTATTAACTTTTTGGTTCAAGTGTTCAAGAGAAAAACAAACGAAGCTTTTTATAGGTGGATTAATATTTGGTTTAAGCATTTATATTTTAGCACCTTCAATTAGACTTCTGTTCAGAGGTAGCTACGATTACGAAAACGACAAGGGAATGCTTTCTAAGAGGCCCGATAAGTATACTACTGGCCTTATCAACTTGAGAAATGATTGTTTTGCGAATTCATCGCTACAGGCCTATCTGGCATTAGCGGGGTTCACCGACTATTTAAATAAATTTATCACCTCTTTTGATGAACTTAAAGCATTTATATCAGCAAACGGCATCTCGGAGGATATCTTGAAAGCCGATATGAATGACAAATCATCGAGAAAGTCGAAACAAAATGGATTTGAAATCCCTCTTCATATTGCAATGGCAACTATCGTCAAAAAGCTACAGACAACTCAGATGAGTTCACATACAATATCAGTATGGACTTTTTTACATTGTCTCGAAAAGATTTTTAATGCAAAAATTTCCAAGTCTCAGCATGATGCTCAGGAACTCAGTCAGCTAATTAACGAGACTTTGGAGAATGAAAACATTCGGATTGCGAAATCTTTGAAAAGTATTAAATCTGCTATAAGTGATAACCACATTTTATTAGAACAGATGGAAGCTGTTGAAGTACCCGAGTTTCCCCTCAAGGGATTAATTTTATCTCAAATGAGATGTCTCGAGTGCCAAGCTCTCTCCAAACCTCATTTTGCTCCGTTTTTGATGATAACGTTACATCCACCCGAAGAATTACAGACGAACATTGACACATTATTAGAGGAAAATGAGAAAGAAACAATTTCGGGCTATCAATGCTTAAAGTGTCGCTTGCTGAAAATTATTGCGAATGAGGATTTCATGAAGGAAAAGGGCATTTTAAAGAACGATGACAAGGAAAATGAATTAATCGCCAAATTGAGAGAATATAATGGCGAGGAGGCATTGTGTATCAATGAAGACTTAGCTGAAGACTTGGAGAAGTATATTAAAGAATACAACAAAGGTGGTTTAGATATCTCAAAAATAACATCAACTGTGATGAGATCAGCCCTGATATTGAAGCCTCCCAAGATATTCGGTCTTCATTTGTCCAGATCTAGTTTTAATGGATACGAAATTGTGAGAAATCCCTGTAATGTTTCATTCAAAGATAGCCTTACGTTGTCAATTGGTAAAAAGTATAGTGATAAAATCAAGCAACTCCAAGCGGCAGCTCAAGAGGAGCTCAGTGAGGATATACCAAACATTGAATCGAAGGTCTTGACTACAGACTCCGATGATATGGAAGATGAAGATGTACAAAGAGAAGATATTGATCAAAAAGGGAACGAGGATGAGGAAGAGGAAGAGGAAGACGACGACGATACAGACGTAGATACAGACTTAGAAGACGATGATACGGATAGCTCGTCCTTTACATCAACCGAATCTATGCAAAATAACAACCCAAATGATAGCTCAGACAAAGGCTCAAGAAGCACTGATGTAACTTCGGAAATGTCTGTATTGAAGACGTCAGAGACAATCAACAAAACCCCAATATCAGATGAGCAAACGGGAAAATTAGTTGAACAATTTAAGCAGTTTAAATTCAATGATAATGATATTTATAAATACAGGTTAAAGGCTGTAATTAAGCATCAGGGATCACATACCCAGGGCCACTACGAGTGTTACAAGAAAAAGCCACTCTATGTAAAGAACAAGGATGGTACTATTTTCAAGCTTTCCCCCGAAATCCTCGATAATGTGGTTACTACAGAATCCACGGAAAGCTCAACTGTGGATGCCACTAGTCTGAGTTCTCTGAAGCCCAATGAACCATCGTCATTAAAAAGAAGACTTTCGTTGTTAAACAAAAAGCGCAGTGAAACTAATAATGAAGACCTGAATAGTGCATCTAATGCTGAAGACCCTCCACTTTTGAAGAACCTTCAAGAAGAAGACGAGGATAGCTCTGGTTTTCGTAAGAAGTTCTCGACAATGATGGGACGTCGGCCTTCATTATACCAGGCAGACCCTGCCCATGCTAATATTCAAGAAATCCTTTCTTCTGGGTTGACAACTCCAGCTGAAGTATTGGTGAATGATTTAGAATCTGACTATTTTTCAAAGCCCATGGAATCTGATAAGGCACAGAGTCAGAATGATGATCATACAGTTAGGATGAAGAAGATTCCTTCATTGATTAAACATCCATTTTGGAAAATAAGCGATGCCAACGTTATGGAAGTGTCAAAGGCTTCCGTTTTATGTGAAACATCCTCTGTGTATATGCTCTACTATGAACGGGTCGACAGAAAGCAGATCAAAGGAAGCCACAGAGTTTAGACATAAAATACAGGTATATATTATTAATAGAACTCATTCTCCTAGTGTTATCGTAATCTTCGCACTTAATTATTATTTTCTTCTTTTTGCACACCCTGTGATTTGGCTGGAAGTGTTTCAAGCCATTAAGATAGACTCTAAGTATGAGCGAACTGTCTCGGAATCAAGAGGATACTACAGGTGTATTTCCAGCACCTTATTCACCCCAGGTTTCCTCCTCGATGTTATCTCCAGGTGAACTTACTGTGCCTCAAAGACAGCCAAGGCATAAGGTAGCTCTTAAACTGGGTCATTCACCGCTTGATTGGGCTATACTTAATAAGAATGTTCCCCCAGGTAAACTCAGAGGTCTTCCTATCGATGCACCGCCTCCCCAATATGTTAAGATCACGATAGAAGAATTAAAATCTCATAAGACAAGACACGATTGCTGGACATGCATAAATGGAAAAGTCTACAATATTACACCATACATTGATTTTCATCCTGGTGGGCCAGATGAGATCTTAAAATGTGCCGGGAAGGATGGAACTTCTCTATTCAACAAATACCATCGATGGGTGAACGCGGATAGAATGTTAGAGAATTGCACTGTTGGTGTGTTGAGCAAGAGATAAGCCCGATTTTTAATGTCTAGTATATTTATGACCTACGACTAAATAAATGCATCATAACCACTAATTATTACGCAATCTAATGACCAATCATGATCCTCCATAGGAATATCTTCGACTAATTGCTCCTTTAGACCAACTCCAATTAATTGAGGCGTTTTACCAAACTTTTTCAAATACATATCAAAAAATTTGTCATAATAACCAACTCCATGTCCTAGCCTTGCTTTGAATTTTGTGAAAGCGACACCGGGAACTACAATCAAATCAAGGCCCCCCTCGTCAAATACATTTTCACCGTTTTTTGGCTCCAATAATCCGTACTTTCCATCAGGTTGCAATTTTGTTACATCTTCAAAGCTATGCATCTTCAACATTGAAAGATAGCTCTCATTATTTTCACCGTTACATTTAGGTAAAAAGACAGACTTTTTAGATTCAAAGCAATGTCTGATTAATTGTAAAGTTTGGATTTCCAGATGTTGCATGTTCATGAATATTGCAATCTTCTTGGAATCCCTGAAGTAATCCGTTTGGATGAGCTTCTCTGTTACGTCATCTGACTGCAGTATTAACGATTGATTTGAGACATGTTTCAATTTTTTTTTGACTGCTTTTCTCAATTGGACCTTAGCTTCTTTGATCGATATCTTACTTGACATTGCATTGTATGTGATTATCTCAAAAACTTTTTTAGATTTTATTTATGCGACAAAATTTTCTTCATCCTTTAAGTTACGGTATAAGAAAGGTAATGTGAGTTTCGATTCTAAACGCTATATCAGAATTAAAATTTGAAACACACCATAATATTATGCTTCTTACAATCTTGCTGAGACTATATTATATATGACTATTTACGCTTGGTCGTTACGTGCTATCACTTTCTCATCAAATCTAACAGATTTTCTTCTTCCTCCATGAAAGCCAACCTCCTCGAAGTTCGTCTCTAGTTCTATTTCACAGTCGCCAAGCTCTTTTTCTGTGTTCTTTAACATCTGTCTAATAGTATTCTTAGAGTCTTTTGGTTGACTTCCTGAACTTGACTTTCGCCTTTGTTGTGCCTTTAAATCTTCTTTGCACTTCTGACAGTTACATAAAAAGCCCCAATTAACTCGCAATTCTCTTTGTCTCTGTTGAACCGTGTGGCTGGGATTTACGTAGGTAGTCGTTAGCTCCTCACCAGCCTTAATGTCCCTTGAAGCAAATACCTTCAACCCTTGGATTCTAGATGTCGTGGAAGATTGAACGTCAGTATTGGGATCGCAACAATGGTTAAGATGCGACTGAACTAGGTATATAGAAGAGTCTAGGTTGTTAATGTTATATGTCCCCATCATACACATGAATTCCTCGTACGTAAATTCCCGGTCTTCTTGTGCTCTTGGAAAAACGTTCAAAAATTTTTCGAAACCTTCTTTCCATAAAGTTTCCTGCTGTTCTTGAACAAAGAGAGCACCTCCTTGTAAGTTATCGAATGTACCCGCCGAAGAATTTAGGGCCTTGTATCTAACCTCTTGTGATACCCTCGCCATCGCGTGAAATTGTTTCTCTTTTATGCCAGTTTTATCGGTCAAAATATTTGCAAATATAATAGCAATCGCATATAGAGCATTCCACTGTTCTCTTAAGCAATAATCTTGCAATTCCAAGAAAGCATTCGCGTCAATTAGTTTCAGCAGTTTATTTTTAAACATCGGGTTATATAAACTGTGCTTTAACATGCCATGTAACTGAGAGTCCATCTTCTTGCATTTCTGCGAGCACCAAGCTTCTGAGCATACATTACAATCCAAGCCTTTTAAGAAAGAAATGGTGGAACTCCCTTGAGTCAATACTTTTGAGCAATATGCACATGCATTTCCTTTCTTTATCAAATTAATGTTCGCCAATGGAGGGACGAAGAATAAAGGGGGCTCCTCCCAAATGAGCTCACCTTTAGGAATGTTTGATTTGGCATACAAACCTTTGCCTCGCTTCGACGTCATCACTATCTTGACACTGTTTGGCAACTCGACGTCGACAGAATTAGATGATTTTATATCATTAGCGTATGTAAATTGTTGCTGATTCGAATTGTTCGCCAATAACCCATAGCTTTTAAGCAAATTTCGAAGCCTTTTCTCAGATAAAGACCAATTGTTTCTGGACTTGACTATGGCATGCAATTTGCTCAAACCAAGTGATTCTGTCGCTGGATCTTCTTTCCAAATTGCTATCACATCATCGATGACCTGTCTCTCATGAGGAACTATCGAAGCGATTGTCTGGGTATTTTCCTGTGAATCATTGATCGAAATGACCTCAAACTCTTTAGCAGTATCATCCATGTTTCAATACTTTTTTCCTTCTGTCGGAGCCATCGATCTTACATATGTCAACGAAAACCTGCATACACATCAAATAATTGCAAAATATATTGCGACAACGACACGACTCAAGCTAGAGGCTGCGACTTAAACATAATCTCGTAACAAGTCTCAAACATCAATAGTCAATAAATAATCCTTCAAAAGTTAACTCAATAAAGATAAAACAATCAAAAATATAACAAAAAAAAAAAGAATTAAAGAGATTTGAATGAAATATGAAAGAGAGAATGACGAATTATAACCATAAATAGTATATTCCAAGCAAATTATTGAGGACAAGTTGCTAAACTTATCCTTGTATTTGCAACTCGCATATTCATTACAACATTTCTATGAATAGATACTTCTTAAGCCCAAAAATCATACTAGTTAATGTATAGAATGTCAAAGAGCCAAAATACGTAAAACAAAACGTCTTATGATTTAATAATCGTTAGCGCGAAAGTTGTTAAAACATATTTACTATGCTTGATTGTCCCATAATCTATAGAAGAGTTCCATAAAGATACCAATTCATATTAACGATTGACAATAAAGCTACCATTCTGATAAAGCATTAGGATACCAGTATGGATTTGAATTAATGGAAAATACTGTAATCGCATATTACATTAGAAATACTACTGGATCGCAAATAGACTTGAGACTAGTCGATAAAACTCAATTACTCTGTTCTCTATGCTAAAAAACAATCACTGGGAGATGTCATATTACATTAGAAATACTACTGGATCGCAAACAGACTTGAGGCTAGTCGATAATAATCTAGTACTCTGGTCTCTATGCTAAAAACAATCACTGATAGATGTCCAGTAAAATTCACGGAACTACTATATCTTAAACGGGTTCCGGATTAGGTTTATATAATAAGTATGTATTGGCAGTAAGGTGTACTTGATTATTGATTTCTTTCGCGATGGTTAATAAATATGCAAATACGGACTGTCTAATTCTTTTCATTATCATCAGGAATTCATCAAAAATTTAATGCAGTGACCTCCAGTGAGAAAACCATTTATATGATGGCAAGGATTCTAGTAACGAATATATGACCTTTTGGATGTAGCTCTAACTCATCGTTAAGGTGAACTCTAGATAAAAAGAATATTACTTGTCAGGCTATGTTGACAATTTGCTTACTTTGATAAGTGGTATTAAATGTGATTTCGTAAGAATGCAAAGTAAGAAATTAGAATTTTAAAATTATAAGTCTAAAAAGCTGAGGCTATCAATTCTATATAGCACAGAATACTGTAAACTGGAAACGTTAATCTCGCTTGGTGGCTTTTGATATGTTATTCATCAGATGAAAGCCTGGGTATTAACGTGATACTACTGTAATATAATAATGCTTGGGATTGATCTTTTGAAGGTAATCAAAACAAGTTCTGTGTTTAGTTAGACTGGTCATAGTTCCTCAAAGTCCTTTTATTTTATGTTATATTCTGCTTGAATAGAGATCAATAGTTAGTGGTGTTAGTATTGTAATTAAGAGGCTAAGATCATTTCGCCACACAGCGTCTCACATGTCACACACTGAGAAGTTTGCTTTTTAAAACTTGTTGTTTTAGTACTCATTTTTGATTCGAAGGTATCATTTCTACTCCTTCATATCTTTATTTTCAAGGTATACATTTTGCTTCATATTCTAAATTGTACCGTCTGATACTATTTGTTATATAATTCTGAAAGCTATCTAGAGATTTGTCATATAATTCTGGAGGGCGTCTAGAGAGCCAAAGATCTTCGCTTCATTTGATTAAAGCTAAAATAGTCTACTTGTTTTTTCATTAACTCAAAGCTGTCTATTTTTTGCTTTGTCGTTAACTAGATATTTAATTTGAGGTCGAATATTTCTTTAATTTGAGGTATTCAGTTTTCACTGCATCTCATCTTGTGGGAACATGACGTATTTTCTAAATTTTCTGTTTTCTGAGTCATTGCTTCACAGCTTAGTAAGGTTATATGATTATGATATTCTAAATGTATATATATATTTGTAAACTTCTGATTCTAATATACTATACAAATAGATTCTAATAAAATCTCTCTGAATTCAAGTGGTTCACAATTTCTTCAATAACTTCTGAGATATTATACTCGCCATTCTTTTCCACTAACGAGAAAACGCCAGGCTCAGTATTGTGTGTACCCACATCAACGATTAATGCATTACTCTTTCCTACGGCATCAACTATTGATTTTGTATCCGATGTGGTGACAATAACACCGGAACCAGCCTTCACGAGCTCATTTACGATAAATGCATCCGGTGAATGTCCTGGTAATTTAGTAATTCTACGCTCTCCAGTAAATTGATTCAAAGTTGACTGAAGTGCAAAAGCTAAATAGTTCCCTTCTTTGTTTTTTTGCTCGCTAGCAGTAATTATAATAACAAAACCTTGCTTAAACCTAGGTGGATTTGAATCTCTCAAGATCTTGACAACTTCTGGATAAGAAAACCATTCAGGTATATCAGTACCATCTTTTAATCGTTGCCTTAATTCTGTTCCAGATATGTTTGCTGTTCTTACTTTTGATGTATCAATAGTGTCAATTGGAGCGTATCTATCTTCATCGGGCAAATAAGTTACCATTCGGAATGGAACTATTTTGATTTTAGAACTGAGCTCGTCTCCAATCTGAGACAAAAGCTCTTGCGCATCATAGGGTCCATAAAAATCAACGCCTTTAGAGTTCTTTCCTGGTCCTGCGTGGTCCCTACCAACAATAAAATGGTCTACTCCATAGTTCATTCTAATCAAGGCATGCCACAATGCCTCACGATCACCACCCATTCTCATAGCTAATGGCAACAACGACATTGTAGCTAAGCCGTCAGGAAACTTTTTCAATATCTGATGATACACTTTCACTCTAGTGTGGTGATCAATGTCTCCTGGCTTTGTCAATCCAACTACTGGGTGAATGAGGATATGGCCGTCTGGACCGAGATCCTCCGCTGCACGAACTGTCAATTCACGGTGTGCTCTATGCATTGGATTTCTCGTTTGAAAAGCAACGACGTTATGTTTATCCCAACCTACGTTCTTGAATTCTTTTCTTAAATCAGTTGGAGTTTTCCTAAATGCAACATAGTCGTAATGCTTTGGATAGTTCAAGCCTTGAAGAGACCCACCAATATAATATTCCCCTGCTGTCTCGTTCAAGTACCTCACAGCTGGATGTTCTGGATCTCCCCTAAAGACGAATTTCGCTTCTTCAGCCTTATTTGGTTTATAGATAGATTCGATGGTCAAAATGGCTAACGGTTGCTCATCTCTCAAATCCCTTAAGACCAATCTATCACCTTTGCTGTGTTTTCTCGCTTCTTCTTCACTGACATCTAAGGTGATTGGGATTGGCCATAATAGTCCTTTGTGTGTGTTTTCATCTTTGACACTTGTGAGTCTCATATTATGTACAACACTCTGATAGTCATCTTCGTTCAAAAAACCAGTTAAAGGAGAGAACCCTCCGTTCAAAAGAAGCTCTAGATCACATAACTGTCTTTCTGTTAAAGTGATTGAAGGAAGGTTTTTGTTTTCGATTTCTTGTAAGAGACTGGACCTTAACGGCTCATCCCTTGCAACTAAATCCTGTAATTTTCCCCCGTGAGCTTCTGGAATAGGCATTTTACTTGAGTCAAGTTTAAGATTAGATTCTTGGGAAAACAAAATATATATATATATCAAAATATTTCACTGCAAAATTCCATTTCTTGGTCTACCATCATACAATTGCACGTGCTCTTTTGTCAAGAAATTTGATGATTTAGCTGTACTAAATAAATTGGTTGCGAAACTTCTGGTAACCTGGGCACGAGCCAACATTGGAAGAAGTTTTTTGTTTGACTTGTGTATTTACCACTTTATCAGTTTTTTTGAGGAAAATTTGAAATCCAATTTTTAGTTGTTGAGGAATTAATGAATCAATCTCAAAATTGAAATGTAACTTGCTTAAGACAGTAACAGTACTTTATCGATTACATGTTGAACATACTGTGAATATAATATTCACATACTTGTCGAAGATCTTCGAGATGTAGCACATGGATTTTTAATTACTTACAAAACAATTCCGACCTTTAAACTAAATCCGATTCTTTAACCGACCTTGCTGGAAAATTATGGGCTCTAGTATTGCTTACAGCGACAGTTAATTGCTGCCAGAGTAATAATCTAAGCATATGAGTTTCCTCATTATATTGACATTAACATAAATATACCAGTAAATAGAAAGGAAGGATCGGAGAAAGCTTTTTATCATATGGCTGTCGCAGAGACAGCTGTACATCTTTCGAATTTCGTAAATGACAATTCTAGCTATTATCGGTTCTCGAATGTCCGAAGCATAAAGTTTGATTGCCGGGTCTCGAAATAGCTCGACCATATTCTACTGTTGAACTCTCAGCGCCCCCACTCTCTTTCGCATATAAAGTAGCAATTCGTCAGCAATAGTTCACGAAATCAATCAGTATAGTATTTGCAAAAGAAAGCATAACAAAGTTAATTTAAGATGTCAGCTCCGAAGTAAGTATCGCTGAAAGTTATTAGGGATTGGATCGCGTCAATTGTTTAATGCGAAAGACCGTGGTTCTTTTAACTCATGAGAGGGGCATTGAATACACTTATAAGTGTGATTTATCCAATCATCCCGATAGTCGTTGTATTTACTTGAATATGTCTGGATCCACTGGAATTGCGTTAAATAGATTGACAGCCGTTCTGAGACATTTTGCCTCTCGAGCTATATCTACTGAAGATGATACTAACAGCAAATGTAGGGGTGATTTAGGTTTAATTGGTTTGGCCGTTATGGGTCAAAACTTAATTTTGAATGCGGCAGACAAAGGTTGGACTGTTGTTGCGTACAACAGGACTGTTTCCAAGGTCGATCACTTTTTAGCTAATGAAGCTAAAGGTAAATCAATCATTGGAGCTCATTCAATTCCAGACTTGTTGTCCAAATTGAAGAAACCTAGAAGAGTTATGTTGTTGGTCAAGGCCGGTAAGCCTGTCGATGATTTCATTGATCAGCTTGTCCCTCACTTAGACAAGGGCGATATTATAATTGATGGTGGTAACTCTCACTTCCCTGACACTAATCGTCGTTATGAAGATTTGAAGGAGAAAGGGATTTTATTCGTAGGATCAGGTGTATCTGGTGGTGAAGAAGGTGCTCGTTATGGACCTTCATTGATGCCTGGTGGACATCCTGATGCATGGCCTCATATCAAAGACATTTTTCAATCGATCGCTGCAAAGACCGATGGTCAGCCTTGCTGTGACTGGGTAGGTGATGCAGGTGCTGGGCATTATGTAAAGATGGTTCATAATGGTATTGAATACGGTGATATGCAAGTTATTTGTGAGGCTTATGATATGATGAAGCGAGTTGGTAAGATGTCGGACAAAGAGATTGGGGATGTTTTCGCAAAATGGAATAAGGGTGTTTTGGATTCTTTCTTGGTTGAGATTACAAGAGACATTATGTATTTCAATGACCCAACTGATGGTAAGCCAGTGGTAGAAAAGATTTTGGATGAAGCAGGCCAAAAAGGTACAGGGAAGTGGACTGCTATCAATGCTTTGGACTTGGGTATGCCAGTCACTTTGATCGGAGAAGCTGTCTTTGCTCGTTGTTTGTCTGCATTGAAATCCGAGAGAGAAAGAGCCTCCACTAAGTTAGACGGTCCTGTTATTGAAGACTCTCCTATCAAAGATAAGGCTGCTTTTATTGATGATTTAGAGCAAGCATTGTATGCATCCAAACTTATTTCGTATGCTCAAGGTTTCATGTTGATCAGTGAAGCAGCAAAAGAGTATAAATGGAGGTTAAACAAACCTGCAATTGCTTTGATGTGGAGAGGTGGATGTATTATCAGATCTGTTTTCTTAGGTGAAATTACATCTGCTTACAAAGAGCACCCAGATTTGGAGAATTTATTATTTCATCCATTTTTCAACAAGGCTATCAGTAAAGCCCAAAAGGGTTGGAGATCAACTATCGCAAAAGCTGTTGAATTTGGTATTCCAGCTCCTGCTTTTACTACCGCTTTGGCTTTCTACGACGGTTACAGATCAGCAAGATTACCAGCTAACTTGTTACAGGCACAAAGAGATTACTTCGGAGCCCATACCTTTAAGGTTCTCCCAGGAGAAGAAAGTGATTTCTTGAAGAAAGACCAATGGATTCATGTCAACTGGACTGGTCACGGTGGTGATGTGTCTGCATCTAGCTACGATGCTTGAATTATACATGAAAATTCCACCAAAAAGGTTCACTTCAAGCGTAGGCTGCAGAACTTCAGATGTAACTAATTATTGTTAAGTTTCATATATATAAATATATATATATCTGCGAAGATAAAGATACTCCTATAAATATTGTGTAATTTAACTGTCGATAACCGGGTCAATTTTCTAATGGATTCCTCGCTTTCCACTCTAGGATTAAATCGTCTTTGGGGAATATTGTGGCGAAAACTTTAATATCTTCAGATAGAGGAGTGGTATGATGCTTCAAGTCTGCCAACATTGCAAACTTTCCTAACATACCTGTAAATAACATCAAAACATAGTTTTGTCCAAGGCAGAGATGTGGCCCCGTTCCAAAAACTAACCAGTTTCGCTTTTCCATGTCCGCAGTAGAGTTCTCCCATCTCTCTGGTTTAAAGGTATCTGGGTCTGGATAGACTTCGGGGTCGTGCAATGCAGGATATAGGGTCGGGATAATCATCGACCCCTTTGGCGCTGTATACGTATCAGTCACTGGGAAGCTTTGCTTAACGACGTATGGAACCATTATAACAGGTGGACGATATCTCAAAGTTTCTCTAACAACATTAAACGTATAATGCATCTCATTAATCAAGTCTAAAGATAATCGCTTTGAGGGATCATTATCACGAACGCGTAATTGTTCCTCCCTAATTTTTTTCATGACATCATCTCTATCTGCAACAATTTGAAATAACCAACAAGCTAAAGATGAAGACGCATCTTGAGATGCAAAAAGAAAAGTAAATATAGCTTCAGAAATCTCTCTGTTGGAAAATTCACGAACTAAAAGCTTCGAGTCTGTGTCTTGCGTGTGCTTTTCTCTGGCATCTTTCATCAAAAAAATCCATTCATCCATGACGCAGCTAGGTTTACCCATTTCTTCGTTGATATGTCTTTTAGACATCGCAGCACAATTTTCAAAGATTTTCATAGTTTCGTCGGCAATTTTTTTTCCATACCAAGTCTTAGTATAAGGAAGAATTATAGGGAAATTGACCAATTCTAACGCAGCAGTGATACGGTAATAGTTATCAGCAATTAACTTGATTTGCTCCTCAGTGATATAATCACCGCAGAAAGTTCTAAGAGAAAGGGCACACAATAATTCTCTAAATTCCGGAAAAAATTCTCTAGGGCCGTCATAACTGATAAAAGTCTCTAAGTACTTATCCATATATTTTTCTTGAACAGGAATATAAATTTCCAAAGCCTTTCTCACGAATAAGCCATTTAGTGACCTTCGATAATCAGTATGTGCCTTTCCGTCTAAGAAAACCCAGTTCGACGGCCTTAAGATCTTTTTTGCTACATCAACAACGCAAGGTTTCACATATCTTGGCGAGCCCAAAATTTTTCTTGCCAAATCCCTAGATGAAGCAATAACAACAAACTTGTGAAATATAGACACACAAGACAAGGGGCCAGAATTCCATTTGGCCATGTATTCTTCAAACTTAGGATCCAATGATTCTAAAAACGGACCAATGACTGGCCAAATTTTATACTTAGGTCCAGCAATATTGCCTTTTCTTATCTGATATGCCACTTGATCATATGTCAATATTAAGACAATCGTTGTAGCGATTATACTCAACCACGACAAATTTTGGTAATGAGTGTAAACAAACTTAATCGCATCGTTGAACTGAGCGCCTCGGGAAGTCGGCAGGTCTACAAAGTTAGCAGTGCTGTTGACTTCCATCTTTAACTAATGCTTATCGAAACTCTAGTGTTTCCACCAATTATTGAATGAAGTGATAACCTAAATTATTTCAAAATAAATAATTAGGTGTCTCCGAGATTGCATCCTTATTTTATACGGGCCGATGCGTTTTAAACGAAATTTTATACGATCGTTTAAAAAAAAATTCTGCTTATGGTCTGCGACATAAGCATTGCGATATTTGTAATATGTCGTATTGAGATGAGCTACTATTTTTTCAGACAAGAGCGGTTGAAATAACTGTTTATTCAGTCGAACTTGATCTACACCTTGTAAAATGGGTAAAAGGAAAGCATCATCTAATAAACTCGTTGGAGATAAGCGAAAGCATTTAAAAGAGCAACAAGACAATCAACTTTCTACTGGAATATTCGGCCAAGATGTTGTCACGTCGGAAGATGACCTTGTCAATGACTGGGACAATGTCGAGCAGGACTATGAATTGCGCCCCAGAAATACTAAAGATAACGGTACTGAAATTGTTGAAGGCTTGCCTATAAAAAGAGGTGATGGAAAATTAGAAAGAGTCGTCAGAAAAATGAATAAGATAGATACCAGCGAAGCAGAGATATCAGTAGACAAAGAGGAGAAGAGCGAGGCCCTTGTAGAACCAGAAGACGCTGATAATCACAATCGGCTCAATGGTATGTCACCTCGGCAAGTTTTGATTGAAACAAAGACAGAGATAGCAGATTTGGCAACAAAATTAATAGAAAATCCCGAAGAAAATATCCCTTGTCTCATAAGGCTAAGAAAAATGACTGAATCTCGCAACTTTGTTACTTGCCAGCTTTCAATAATGGCTTTAATCCCAGTATTCAAATCACTAGCTCCATCTTATAGGATACGACCTTTGTCGGATACAGAGAAACGTCAGAAAGTCAGCAAGGACATTGCTCAACTAAGAAACTTTGAGCAGTCTTTAGTTGCAAATTACGTTGCTTATGTAAATCGTTTAGCTCAATTAGCTGTTGTTTCCTTTCTGAACTCTCAAAATGATAGGAAAGTAGCTTTGGATGAAATTAAATTAGGTCTGTTGGCTACAAAAGCAGCATGTGAGCTTTGTCTCTCGTCATTGCGCAATTTTAATTACAGAAGTGAAGTGATTACCATCATATGCCGTCGTCTCAATAGAACTCCATCTAATGATGATGATTTTAATGTTTTTCTCAAATGTTTAAGGACCTTAGAGTCCTTGCTCATTGATGATCAGCACAATGGAGATGTTACCTTTGACGTTTGTAAGCTTTTATGCAAATCGATCAGAGATAAAAAATTCAGGGTTGACGAATCTGTAATAAACATTTTCCTATCGCTAAGCTTACTCAATGATTACGATCCGAATAATAACAAAAATGATGAACAAAAACCAAAACTCAAGAAGAAAGACAGACTACATTTGTCCAAAAAAGAGAGAAAGGCCAGAAAAGAACGGAAAGAAATTGAGGAAGAGATGCGTAAAGCAGAAGACGCAATTAGTGCTGAAGAGAGAGAGAAATATCAGGCTGATGTTTTAAAAATGCTATTATCACTATATTTGGAGATTCTCAAAGCTAGCTCTCCAGGCACTCTCTCCAAAAATAGCTACGCTGGAGAATTGATGGCTCCCGTATTGGAGGGTTTAGCTCGGTTTGGTAATATGGCTAATATAGACTTGTTGGGTGATTTCTTGGAAGTTTTACGAGAAATCATGACGGACATTATCCTGGAGCATACTTTACACGAAACCAACGATGAAGACAGTGGGGGTATGTTTAATGGCAAAGAGGTGCGAAGCATTTTGCTATGTGTTTCTACTGCCTTTGCCCTTGTCATGAATCATTCTTCTGTCGGTAAATTGCCCATAACGATTGATCTATCAAAGTTCATCTCCTATTTATATGTTGTTCTAGCTGATTTGTCGTTGGACACAGATTTGGAGTTTTCTAGCAAGACTCTCAGGCTAGTTGACCCTCTTTCAACTTCAATATCTGCTGATAAACCACATGTAAATGTTTCAACTAAAGCAGAGCTCTTGTTGCGCTGCCTAGACTTCATATTTTTCAGATCAAGAAACGGCACTGTACCTCGGGCATCTTCATTTATTAAGAGACTATACATTTTATCTTTACAAACACCTGAGAAAACCTCATTAGCAATTCTTAAGTTTGTTGGGAAATTGACCAGTAGGTATGGAGAAAGCTTAAAAGGTTTATGGAATACTGAGGAAAGAATTAGTGGTGAGGGGTCTTACTTTTTGGGAATAGAGAAATCTGATAGAGAGGTAGAGTTGGAAAGATGCAACAGTGGTGCAGCCACTTTATGGGAAAACGTGCTACTTGATAAGCATTATAGTCAAATGGTTAAAGATGGATCGAGAACATTATTCAAAAATAGTAGACCGCACACAAGGCAATAATAGGATTATATATTGAATAGAGTTATATCTTATACTCTTCACCTTTAAACTTCTGTTGACGACGCCCTTTTTAGAAATTTTTTTTTTTTTTTTTTATTATTATTATCAAATGACTATATTTTTCGAGGAGCGCCGCTGTTTGAGAATTTCGTAACAAAAGTTCTGTACGAAAGAATAACCATAATATCATCCCAGCAATGAGTTTTGTTTCTACAAAAGAGATAGGCCCTGGTGGAATCATTTTAATTTCAACCTTGACACCTATTGGATTGTTTTTGGTATTATTCTTATGCGCTTATAAAGTTTTTAGTAATGAAGGTGATAGAAATGACTATAGGTTGCTAAATGGAGACATTATTGAAGATTCGGCAGTACCCCATGAATTTCTAAATGACGAGGAATCGTTATTGCATTTAGCGGACGAATTTGATTTTACAAGCTTACCACCAGAGGAGCAGTCGGCTTATCTCAAGGGTGAAGAATTCGTCAAAAATAATCCTCCTAACTTTCAAAATATTCGAGGCAAGTCATTTACTCATGAAGATGATCTTTCTATTAGAGAGAGAGGCATTGGTGCATTCGAATTTGAACAAGAACAGGACATTTTGCATTCGAGATATATCGTCGCAGATAAAACTGAGGTAATATTTCAAAACAATGATGCTCCCTACTCTACTGCTACTGCTGTTTTAAATCTTGCATTACCTGTGAAAAATAGACCACACTCAGATACTGTTTATTTTGAAACTAAAGTGTTTGAATATCCTAATGATAACCCTAATGGTCATTTTTCAATAGGATTAGTAACAAAGCCATACCCTTCTCATTTTCGGTTACCTGGTTATAATACTTTCTCAATAGGCTATGAATCAACTGGAAACTTGAAGATCAATAAGCCATTTCCCGCCCCACTGCAGCAGCATCAAGGTGAGCAGAGTCAGTATAACGCTTTTGTGTTGCCTCCGCTTCAACAAGGGGATGTTGTCGGGTTTGGTTATGTTATACCGACTGGAACAATTTTCATAACCAGAAATGGTAGGAAATTGATGGATGTTATGAAATCCTGCTTTATAGATTTATACCCAGCTGTCGGGTGTTTTCTGACGAATGCTAAATTTCAGGTAAATATAGGGCAACTTGGGTTTGTTTGGATTGAAGCAAATGTGAGAAAATACGGTTTCATCTCAACAAGCGATTATAAAAAAATTGTGGGGGACAGAGGTTTGGCGTCATTACCAGAATACACTAATGTACTTAAGAATGATTCTGATAAGGTTTTGGAGAAAGGAGAAGAGCTTCCACCTAGGTACCCGGAAGATGAAATTGATTTCTTTGGAGGAACTACTAAAATAGGCTCTTCAACTTTAGAGGCTCCTAAAGGTGAAAAATACAATAAGGAAACGAAAGTCGTCGGAAGCTCATCACAAGTTACTGACGACCCCGAAGAAATCATGGACATGAGAGAAAGATTATACGAGCAAAACATCACGAATGACAAGAATGCCTACGAATCCGCTCCGCTTTTATATTCTGACTCAGTTGATTACGAAACGACTTTAGATGAATCCGATAATCGACAGTACGACTCGATGGAGACAAATGAGTCTACTGTTCCACAAAGACCTAAAGCTACGCAGGATGTGGCAGCACCGGATGTTCATTCTCTTGATGGTTCAAATGAAAATCTAGATTCCAACAAGGTGGAGCCCATCGAAGCTAATTCCTCCAGTGAGGCCCGAAGCTCACTGAAATCAGGTAGTTCGGATCGGAACACTAGCCATGGAAAAGCTAATAAGAAAAATAAAGGTAAAAAAGGCAAGAAGAAGTCAAAAAGAAAATAAATTAATCAACATATATGTAATATTAAATTTCGACGTTCTGTGATAATGTGCTTGTAGGTAGTTGCTTGAAGGGCCACATTCATACTCCTGTTCTTTTTGATGAACATTTGACTGCTATAAGCTTTTGTGAGACTTATTATATTAGAAATCTCTGTTAGAACATGTCTTTCTGATGCATCTAGCACTATATTTTATGAGCGTGGGTAGTTCGTTAAACACTTTGAGTGTGTTTACCATTTTAAGCAAGGAAAAGAAAAAAAAGAAGAATAGCGTTGCCAGGTTTCGATCCTGGGACATCAGGGTTATGGGCCCTGCGCGCTTCCGCTGCGCCACAACGCTGCTTCTTGAAGATTAATGTCACTTTGGCTCGTTACACCTTGAAAATGTTGAGCAGCGAGTGCTTGTTCTTATATACCTTCAAAAAAATTTCTTCTGTTTTGATTGAGGTGCGCTGAGGTTTGTATATTGTACCGTTGGGAAAGATTGCTTTGAAATTCAGAACAATTGTGATATATTATCAAATGTTGCGAAATTTCAGAAAATTACAATTAAATTTGAATATTTCCAGTCATGTTTAGGATCACCTACTCATTTTATTTTTAAAATAACAACAATAACAATAATAATATACAAGCAGAAGTCGAGAAGTTATGTTTTAGAATTAAGATACAGATTAAAATTAGCGTACAAAAAACGGATCCTGAATCATTTAAAACATTACGAAGAGTATCCAGCCCCTCCCTCCGGTGAAATACCACAGGGGGAGCTATCGGATTTTGTCACTCCGGAATAGCTGAGAGCTTTCTTTGGACGACCCCTTTCCTTTTTCACAGCAACAGCACCGGACCCTAAGTTGTCTCGAATTCGTTTTTTCTGCTTGAGGATACCATTTACTCTTATACCCTTGATTGTTAAACCAGTTTGCTCAACCGGAAACTTCCTTGGCCTTCCGCGTCTATCTTTCTTCTGCAATAGTTTTTTTACTTCTTCATCTTCTAACGTTCGCATAGAAATAGGCTGATCATAAAGGTTTGTGTGTCCATCACCTCTTGCAGAGTATAATTTTGTAGAGGCACCCTTTACTTGAGATGTAGACGGACTAGATTCTCTAAGTAGTTTGTTTAATTGCTTGAAGTGTGGATGGGTCGAATCAATGTATTCATTGGTGGAAGCATCAAGTATGAGCTTTCTGGGACGTCCTCGCTTTTTTTTAGATTCATTCTTGACGTTTTGATGTTCCATATCTTTGGTGTTATCACTGACGTACATCCTATCCTGCATATTAAGAGGATGATATTGTGACTCCAGTGTTGAAGATGGATTCAGCGACTGATACTGAAGTGCTTGATGATGCAGCACTGGATACTGCATTGGATGATATTGGTGAGATGGATCATGTATTTCTTGCGAGCTTGGGTGCACCAGAAGGTGATGTGATTGATTAAGCTGGCGGTATTGATGAAACTGAGGAGGATTTGGATACTGACTAGATGTATGCATACTTTTTGGATTATTTGAGTTTTGATTAATATTAAAAACATGCTGCAGTTGGTTGATCATAGGTTGTTCCTTAGAGTTTGAATTAACTGGTTGGGTGTGTGGGTGCGGTAGTGGTAACGAGGAAGAACCACTTAGTGTAGATGAGCCACCAACTCTAGAAGTGAGAGGCGCAGGTGACCACGCATGGTTTTTTGACATTGAAGAAGCTCCCACGAGTGGTGCAATTGATTTGTTTTGATCTGATGAGCTTTTATTACTGCCCGTATAGCTTGGGATGGGTAGATACATTGTAATTTTTTGGCTCAACTTATGTTGAGACAAGTTTCAGGAATTTATATTTCAATAAGCCAAATAACAAATAGGCAGTCTAGTAGTATTTCTCGTATTTACTTCTTTAGAAATGACGTCTCCCTTTCATTTGCAACAAGGATTCTTGGTCCCAAATTACTACTATTAA